TGTAGATTTGGAGGCCTGCAACTTCTGGCTTTTTCCAAAACTAAAATCACCTTTGAAAGGGAAGAGATGTTAGACTGTTGATGAGATTCAGGAAAATACGATAGGGCAGCTGATGGCAATTGGGAGAACTGTGTGAGGTCTGAAGGTGCTCACTTTGAAGGGGACTGAGGCATCATTATTTATGTACAATGCGTCTTGTATCTTGTATATTCTTCAGTAAATGTCTCTGTTTTTCATATTATGTAGCTGGATACCTTCTGGACAGACTTCATATATCTAGGAGTGGAATTGCTAGGTCATATGGTAAATCTATGCTTAACTTTCTGAGGAACTGACAGTTTTCCAAAGTGGTTGCATCATTTTACATTCCCACCAACAACGTTTTGAAGGTTCTGATTTCTCCACATCTTCATCAACACTTGTTCTTGTCTCTTTGCTCATAGCCATCCTAGTGGGTGTGAAGTGGTATTTCACTGTGGTTTTGATTTGTATTTCCCTAGTTATTAATTATTTTTTCAAGTGCTTGTTGGACATTTGATCTGCCTTCTTCAGAGTAATATCTATTTCAAATCCTTTGTTCATCTTAAAATTGGCTTATTTCTTTTTTATTGTGGAGATTTAAGAGCTCATGATAGCATTCATTCTGAATACAAGGTCCTTTCCACATACATGATTTGCAAATTGTTTTCATTTCTTTCAGCTTTATTGATACATAAGGCACATGCCATACAATTCACCATTTAAGTGTATAATTCAATTTATTTTCATATATTCACAAAGTTGTACAACCATCATCCTCATTTTTTGATAAAAGTCCTTTGAAGCACAAAAATTATTAATTTTGATGAAATCCCATTTATCCATTTTTTCTTGTGTTTTTGGTGTCCTTCATAATTGAGGAACCATTGCCTAATCCAAGATTGCAAAGATTTACTCCTACATTTTCTTCTAAGAGTTTTCTAGTAATAGCTCTTACACTTAGGTCTATGATCCATTTTGAGTTAAATTTTATGTATGGTGTAAGGTAGGAATCCAACTTTATTTTTTGCATGGAAATACCCAGTTGTTCCAGCCCCATTGGTTGAAAATGCTGTTCTTTCCTTCATTTGAATGTTCTGGTTTATTTCTGAACTATTAATTCTATTCAGTTGACATAAATGTCTATTCTTTTTTTTTAAAGATTTTATTTTTATTTTAGAGAGAGGGGATGGGAGGGAGAAAGATAGGAAGAGAAGCATCAATGTGTGGTTGCCTCTTGTGCACCCCCCACTGGGGACCTGGTTCACAACCCAGGCATGTATCCTGATGGGGAATTGAACTGGCTACCATTTGGTTCACAAGCTGGCACTCAATCCATTGAGCCACACCAGCCAGGGCCATAAATGTCTATTCTTATAACAGTACCACAGTCTTGAATCCTGAAGCTTTGTTGTAAGGTTTTTTAAAGATTTTTAAAAATTTATATTTAGAGAGAGAGGAAGGAAAGGAGAGAAACATCAATATTAATTTTAAGAAAAAGTAAGCAACATAAGTTAAGAAACTTCCAAAGTGTCTTCTAAGGTGGCTACATCACTTTGATTCCCATCAGTAATGAATGAGAGCTCCTGTTGCTCAGCATCCTCACCAGAATTGGGTGCTGTCCAGTTTGCTGTTTGTTTGTTTTTTAAGCTATTCTTTTTTTTTTTTTTTTTTTAAATATATATTTTTTAAAGATTTTATTTATTTATCTTTAGAGGGAAAGGGAAGGAGAGAGGGAGAGAAACATCAATGTATGGTTGCCTTTCATGCATCCCCTGCTGGGAACTGGCCTGCAGGGAACCTGCCTGCAACCCCAGTATGTGCCCTGACTGGGAATCGAACCTCGATTGTCTGGTTCTCAGGCCCGTGCTCAATCCACTGAGCTACACCAGCCAGGGCTTTTTTAAGCTATTCTAACGAGTATATGGTGGTATCTCATGCTTTTAAAATTTCCCTAATTACAAATAATGTTAAGCTTCTCTTCATATGCTTATTTGTCATGTGTGTATCTTCTTTGGTAAGGTGTCTTCATATCTTTTGACTATTTTTTCATTGGATTGTTTATTTTCTTATTGTTGAGTTTTAAGAGTTCTTTCTATACTTTGCATACCAGTTCTCTACCAGATATATTATGCAAATATTTTCTCCAGCCTCTAGGTTGTCTTTTCATGATTTCAACTGCTGAATATTTTAAATTAAAAAAAACACTCCTGGTAAGCTTTAATGATGCAGCTGCTTAAAAACCATCAAAGGCTACCTATGTGAGGTTGCTGGTTTGTGAATTTCAGACGCAGACTCCCTCTGGAAAGACCTAGAACCACCAAGATATGTATTTGAACTTCACCCCTATCCATGCCTTTGGCTGATGCCTTTGTGCAAGGCACAAACTGCATAATCAAATTGCAACAAGCCACATGGATCTTAAGTGTATCCTTATTACATTTACAGAACCTTCTGCGATAGGGCTCTGGCCTATTCTCCAGCCACATCTCATCTTTCTATCCTTCCTCTCTACACCCACAGAAGCCTTATCTCAGCAACTTGAAAGACTTTTGCTTCCAGCCTTAAGATTTTCACATTCTTCCTCTGCCAGTGTGGCAGGCTGACTTGTAAGAAGACCCCAATGACTCTCACTTCCTGGTATTCTCAGCCTTGAGTCATCCCTTCCCCTGGAGGTACACTAGACATTGTGACCTGCTTCTAGTGAATAGACAGAGTAAAAGTGATGACATCACTTCTAATATTAGGCTGTAAATGGTTGTAAGTTCTGTCTCGCTTGCACTCCCTCTTCCTCCTTTATTCCTTCACTTTCATGAAGCCAACTGACATGTTGTAAACTTATGAAGAGGCTCATATGGCAAGGAACTGGGGGGGCTTCTGGCTAATAGCTCATAAAGAGCTGAGGCCTCAGTCCAACAGCCTGCAAGGAACTTAATCCTGCCAACAACGACTGGAGTCACATTGGAAGCAGATCAACCCCACTTGAGCCTTTAGATGACTTTAGCTCTAGTGGACATTTCGAAACCTTCTGAGAGATGGTGAGTCAGTGGATTCAGCTAAGCTGTGCCCAGCTGCCTGACCCCCAGGAACTGTGAGATATTAAATGTTACTGTTTCAGGCCGCTATGTTTTGGGGTAATTTATTACGTAGCAACAGATAGCTAATAAAGTCAGGAACATTTCCCTACTCACTTCCCACCTCTTTTAACTGCTATGTGTCTTCCTCAGGGACGACCATCCTTTCCCCTGACAATCCCCCATGTCTGAGCAAGTCTTTGCTTATCCCCTCACGCAACATTCTCTTCTCTTCTGTTACACTCATCACAATGGCAGTTAGTTCACTATCTGAGTAATGTCAGTTCCAAGGCAGAGCTGGCTGTTACTTTTTCCACACTGAATTCCCAGCACCAAACAGGGTGCATAGCACATAGTGAGGGTATAGTGACTGTAGAATGAAAAAAAAAAGGATAAACAAATGAAGGAATTAGCGAACAAAGTACACCAAAGCCCCACAGTTCAGAAAGGAGTCGAGACAGCCCCATGCCCTAGTAAAGAGAGTTGTGGAAGTCCCACAATTCCCAGGCTACACTTTTAAAATATCAAAAACAAAAAAAATAAAGCCATGTCAACACATTCTAGATAAAAAGTTGTTATGACAGAGTGCATTATGATCAAATTCCCTACATATATAAAAAGTCCAGCAAGTGTTAGCTTATAATCCAGGATTCTGATTTAAAAAAAAAAAACACACCCTGCAGTTTTAACAGAAATAACAGCAGCTAACCTGAGTAACAAAGGATGAGGAGGCGAAGACAGAGGAGGTCGAACAGAAGCTGCCCCACGTGACCAACAGGCTGGGGCTGGCGCTCCTCTGCTTTCCATGTGAAATCTGGGAAAGGTGTCCAGTTGTTTTTTTCTGTGGAACCAATGAATATTTAGCTAAATTCTAAAAGAAGGATTTTGAAGTTTGAGGATACCTGATGGCCACAGAAAGGTAAATTTAGTCCAGTTATTTTAGTTGGCTAAACTCCTATAGGTCTTTTTAAATCACAAGTGGCAAATACAAGGCCCATGGGCCGACTCCAGCCCTCCACCTTGTTTTATCTGGCCCAGCACCTTGTTTGTACCCGGCGGCAGTGCTGAGCTCCTTGCCCCTAGTTAAGGAGTACTTACATGTATACAGTCCTAAAATTAGTCAGCCCCTTGAAGGCTACTGCGAGGCTGATGCAGCCCCTGGTGAAAATGAGTTTGACACCCCTGTTTTAAATGATAATATTATATAGTCAGCCACTCCCAGTGAACTGGTTTCATTAGCAATTCCCTTCCTCATTGCCTACAAGTCACATCCCACTCACTCCCTAGCTGGACACTCAACTGAAACTGCCAGCCTGTTCTTTTATTGCACCTCTTCATATACATCATGCTCCTACCATTCCTCGGTCATAGGACACACTTTCCCTTCTCTTCCTTTTCACGTGTCCCTCCTCTGACTGCAAGTCCTCCTTTAGTGCCACTCAGTCCTTGCAACACCAAATCCAAACGGAAAGACTGCTGCTCCCTCCGGAAGTGATTGCTCTTCTGCTCTGTCCTCTTGGGGCGCTCAGTGTTAATCTCTTCTATGGCCTCTATCATATTCAATATTGTTTTGTGAGCAGGTATGGATCTCACTTATCTCTTCTACTACATACACCTGGGGGGTTACAGTCTCTGTCTTGATGACCTTTTTTCCCCTACGTAACCCAAAACAAGGCTTTGGAATGGAGCAGGGCCTTAGTGCATATGTGTTGTTAAATGAATAAATAAAAATTAATTAAAAAGCTCAAAGGCTTCTAAATGAATCAGATATACTTTATATCTTAATGCCAACAAGAGATACCAAAGAGATTTAATGTTAAAAATATTTAATTTGCCTTTGTATGAAATTTTGTTTTCAAACATACCAAGGACAGTTTCTCATAAAGCAAAAAAGGAACTGAGAAATGAATACACAGAATGTTTCTTCACTAGTCTGCTAGAGCGCCGGCTAAATGTCCTAATGTGTTACTCTAACTAGTCACGTGGAAGCCAAGGAGGCAAAGAAATGACAAAGCAACTATTAAATACAGGAAAATGAACTTTTTGGGAGCTTTCTGGATTTCTTTAATAGTCTGTTGTTGAACTTCTAACAAAATAATTTCAACAATTAAAAAAATTAATAAAAACAAGTATTAGTCTGATGGGAAGTGATTAAGCCCAGGTGATTTAATTACAGGGATTTAGTTACAGAAATGGGATGTACCAGACTATGCAGGCAACCCTGTTTGGGAAGAGGACCGTGTTCTCGTTTCCAGGCCCAGTGTGTCCGGGAGCCTCGTGTGATCTCTCTCCATCAGAAAAGACTGTCGCACAGACGATTTCAAGCTTTCTTCTGGTTCAAGGGGGAGAAGGGTATAGGGGTTGAACAGACACCGAGGCTCCCCCAAGATGCCAACTCTGCAAAGAGAATTATCGGTATAACTGAAGTGGCGGAGCCAAAGACTTAGGTGTATGGCTGTGGTTGTGTGTGTATGTGTACACACAGCTTTTCTTTTTCTTTTTTTCAAGCATTCCCTGTTTCCCTGGATGACTACTGTGGTCTTAAATATAGGCCAAAAAATGCTGCCCAAAGCCAGATTTTGTACGGGCCCTTCCTGCGTTTCCCAAAGATGACTCTTCTATTGGAAAAACCTCAGCCTTTCAAAGTCTGCTACTCATTCATCCAAATGAGAACTCTTTGAATCCCAGCTTAACATTTAGTTACCTTTTCTAGTCTAGATGGTGTACCAATTGCTTCTCTGGAAAGGAAGCAGGTGGAAAGGAGGAAGGTGTGTGTAGAAAGATGCTGCTTTCATCTTTGTCCAGCTTTCTGGGAGAGGAATTGTTCATGAGCCCTGTTCCTCCCCCCCCCCCCCCCGCCCCCAACAAAACCTAGGAAATGATGCTCAGGGCTCTCTTTTCTCTCTCCTTGAGCCACTTACATTGGCATGGGCACCGAGTCCAGATTCTCCAGATGCTTTTGCATCTCATCTGGGAATTGGGTGCCTCCTTGAAGATACTTTTTCTCAAGGATATTCTGAGCTTTTTCTCTGAGAGACGGCAGCAGAGTAGACATGACTGGAGAGCGCATGTGAATGGCTGTTTTAATTGCCGGGCGTTTTGCCATCATTCTCCTAGGAGGGGAAGGTGACATTCAGGTCACATCATCTTGTTTTCTAGAAATGTCCTTAAGCTTAAAAAAGGCAAAAGGTCATACCTGAATTGTACAAAAGTCATGCATTTCTTTTCCCTTCCTGATTCTTCGCCCTCACGTTTCCTTCGAGGACTATTGAACATATTGGTGCGAAAGAGCCTCCCTACTTCTTCCTCAATCTCTGTGAAGTGTTGACGTCTAAAGACAATCCAAGCCACGCAGGTACAGAAAGTATAAAAGGACTACAGTGGAAAACAGCCAAGAATCACACCCACAGCTATGGCATGGAACACTCCCACCTGTCTATGTAACATTGCTAAGTAGATATAAAGCCAGACGATCCAATTTCTCAATGTTCCTAAAAGTGGTGGAAAATTATTAATGCACTCACCTTTACAGGAGGCAAATCAGAGAAAAAAGTTAAGGCCTGGTATGTAGTGCATTAGCATCCTTTTCAGAAAAGACATTGGCTATGGGTAAGTACCTGACAAATGGTTATTAGTTATTGCTATACTTCACGTTTTGTATCAAAGAGAAAAGCCCCAAAACATAAGTGACTCACCTCAAAGAATTTCCAGTCTTTTTGTGTATCTGATATTTTCTCTCTGCAATGTAACAAATCACAACAATAGGTTAAGAGGGAAGTTTAGTCTTTCAGTGATCTCGGCAAAACCCTTATCTTCAAAAGGTCACTTTGCAGGATGGTTGCCTGTGGCCCCCAAGACTATTTAGGCACATAAATGCTATCAAAATGCAGTGGTAATGACTCCCAGTATCTTTTTCTCCAACTTCTGTGGTTACCCAGATCAAAAGCCCTAGAGTGTCCCATCAAAAGGTAACCAATATAAATTGAGGATAAACAAGCCAATCGAGAAATATATTCTTCCAAATGCTACTGGTGCTGGGAGTGAGGGCGAGGTGGGGACAGTGGAAAGGTGAAGAGGCAACCCAAGGTGTTAGTAGGTATGGAAATAAAGCAACTAGAGGGCAAGTCTAACACGAAGAAAAAGAAAAAATCTTAATGGTTATGGCTACTGATACAAAAGGAAACAGAAATATGTCACTATGCCTGCAAATATTATCTATGCCGTGCAATCAATAGACCGGGGACAGTAGTGTGTTCTTCCTTCTTAACAAGGTATGTAAACTGAGCCTTATCTCTTAAAGGCAAGCATCTGTCCATGAGTCCTTGCAACACAAGATTTAATGTTAAGGATAATGTACTGGCATAGGCATCATTAATGAACTTGGCCTGATTCTGATTCCCAGCCTTAGGAAAGCAGGCACGGCCTGGGGAGGACTTGAGAATTGACAGAGAGGGCTGCGCACTTGCAGTCATGTGATTAGTCATGGGGCCAACATGCTCCAGAGTTGATTCTGGGTTTGCTTTTGCTTTTGCTTGGGCCTTCTTTGTAGTAACTGACCCAGGACTGCCCTAGTAGCAGGCTCTCCGGCACCACTGTGAAATCCCATGGTCTGGTGAAGATGGCCCAAATCCCTCTAGACCTTCAGCCCAGGGCCTTCATGATCTGTAGGAGCCCAAACTAGATCTCCATTTTGGAGAACCACCAAAGAGATGGTTGAGCTTTTACTGAGGTGGGTCCCTCCCTTCCTACAGTCTCTTCATTTACATACTGGTTTCCTCCCATGTGAGTCTTCAATAAAGAATTAGGACAACGGTTAATTACACTGAACATTTACTAAGTGTGAATTATGTGCTAAGTACTATGCTAAGCCCTTTACATATATTATAATACTGAGTTCTCATACCATCTCTGTGACATAAGCAGCCTATAGTCGAGGACACTAAAGTTGAGACTCAAGTCCAATGACACATATTTAACTAGGGGTAGAATCTGTACCAAAACTCAGACCCGTCAGGAGGTCCACATTGGTCCTCATAACCAGAATGCAAGGGAAACAAGCTTTTTCTGTAAAATATTTCTCAGAGTAGTTAAAAAATATTAAACAACAGAGCAGAAACTTTTAGGGACAAGCTTCAGCATCCTTCGGTGCCACCTGAAGACTCCGTCTGACAGGAGTGCTTATGTGGTATTTCCATCCTTCCACAGACTCTGCCAGATGAAACCAGAGACTGCGCAGACCTGCCAAGCTGAAGCAGAAACCAGCCAAGCTTTGTTTTTGGAATACCAAGCTCTAGGAGGGGTAGAGCAGTATTACGTTGGCACAACCCACACCAGCACTATCTCACCAAAGTTTGGAAATGACAGACTAATTGCCCAGGAAACACATACTCTCTTCCTTTATTTTTCTTTCATGAACCTCCTCCCCTTCTCCTCAAGTCGCCATAAAACAGGAACATCTTTCTCTCTTAAAGACCAAAGACAGTTGATATAGCCCACACTGCAGTAATTAAGCACAGAATGTAGTAATGATTGTATCCAAACCACCAAAATATTATCAGTCATTCCTGAAGGGATGCAAGGCTTATGGCCAGGCCCATTGTTCTGGACTGGAGAGGGAAAAAATGTTGTGTTCTACCTCCCCCCTGCTGCTTTAGTTGAAATCAGGTTGAAATGAATGTCAAGGTCTGCTTTTTATCAGGGAAGAGAAATTTCAAAGGAATATGTTTGGGGGAAGGAGAAAGATGCCTTGGTGCCTGTAACTGGGGTGAGGGTGGGGGGATGGGTATGGAGGATGATTTGTACACCTGAACTTTAAGAAGCCCTTTCTCCCCATCCTCACTCACACCTTCAGCCTCTTTGGTCCCCCATCAGGTGCCGGCTGCATTAAGGGCACAGGAGTGGGGTATAAACCCTAACACAGAGGTAGGTGTGAAGCCAGAATGAGCAATAACCAAAGAAAAAATCTAATTCCATAGCATGTGCAATGAAAGGGTTTTTTCTTATCTATCCTGGAAAATACGGAGAGCTTGCACTGAATGTGTGCATCAAAATATTGCCAAAGCTTTTGTAATATCAGGATTTCGCAGATATATTTAGAAGAGAAAGACACGTCCTCCTACTTCTCAAGAAGCATGAAAGCACTGAATTAGCAGCCCCCAAATTGCTGGTTCTACTGGAAACTTTAACTCCAGAGATAAATAGCACAAGGTGTTCTAGTCCAATATTGAGTGTGTACATTTAAGAAAGGAAAAGTCAGAAAATTCTCATGGAAATGTTCTCACGAGAATATCAGCTTATTCACATTGAGAGGAAGTTCAAATCAGTTAATCAGTGAAATACAGATGTGTTAAAATCAGCAAAAAAAAAACACCATTGTCCTCATTTTGCAGATAAAAACAACCAAAAAAAAACATATAAACTCGATTCAAGGACATAACACCATGGCCAGTTAACGACTTCTACTGGCAAAAACATGCTATGATCTGTTTTCCTCAGTGTCCTTTGTTCAGCTCTGACTTGTAGGAAGTTCCTTGTGTGAATGGGGGCAGCGAGCTCTATACTGATTCTCCTCCAACTGCCACCCACAGGCAGGGGAAGAGCAGGCGATGGAGCGCACGGTGAGACAAAAAGACCAGAAGCTCCTGGGAATGAGCTAGCACTAAATTGAAGCAATCGCTTCGCTTACAAACAAAATTAGTCACTTTAAAGGTCCGAATAAAAAATTATACAGTAATAAAAATGTACTGTCAAAAGTACATAACTTATGTGGAGGTTCTATATATAGGGAATGAAAAGATATGATAAAATCTCTAATTATAACTATATTTTTATTCCCAAATTAGTCTGTAATGCATAGGTTCTTTTAAAGATTAAACATTAAATATAGGCAATTAAATTATTTTTTTGAGCTAGCGCCTGTTCGTCGAGACTGACCAGAGTCCATGAACTCTCTGCTCTGGCTGCCCACACTGCCCCGAGCCCCTACCAACTGCCAAAATTCTAATTCGGCACCACCACTTGGTTGGATGACCCTGGGGAGATTGCTCCCCTGAGTCTGTTTCATCATCTTCTGTAAGAAGATTCTTAGGGTTTTCTTATCCATCCACTAGAGGATCAACTTTCTAGCCTCTGAAAACCCTAAGGCTAAAGTATACCAGCACTGAATTTTACTAGAGCCAATCACCTGTCTGGCCTGGTACAGGGAGGGTACTCAGATTGCCCTTAGCCCCAGTAATGACAAAGTCCACACCTGTAAGAATGGGAGCCAGTGGGTGAAAGCCCATGAACTTGAGGAGTACAGTGGACACATTACTGAGCTCCCAAGAGTGACCACATCCTCACTTGCTGGGCAGAGCACAATGCCTGTGTCTGGAGTCAGAAAGATGGTGCTGGAAGTCAACCCTGGTGATCTGGAGAATTAATCATCCAGCCACTTTCGCCAAGTGGCCCAACCAGAGAACAAATTTGCTGTGGGAAGAGGAGCATAACTCACTGCTGTTTGTTACTTTGAGTCTGAAAATGACTGGTGGGTAAGCGAGCATGTAAAAAGCCCATTAGCTCCACGATCCTCAGCTTGGACTGGCATGGCAACAGTGTTTTGCAATGAGATCATGTGATTTCAAATGCAGACAATGGACCAAGGGATGATCCATGTCCCGGGTGGAATGGAGCAGGATGGCGTGAGGTTCATCACACTGCGAAGAACAGCGTGCAATTTAAAACATATGAAGTGTTTATTTTTTGAATTTTCCATTTAATATTTTTGGATTATGGTTGACCACAGGTAACTGAATCCTTGGAAAGTAACACCACAGATAAAGGGAAACTATTGTATAATCAAAAACAAAGAAAATGAGCCTGAACTGAAAATAGATCAATATAAGCATTAATAAACATCAAGTTCTATGTGAGAGAAAACTCATATGCACTTTTGCTTTTAAGCTTTATAAACCAATGTAGGTCCTTATAAGCAGGAGAAATGAGAGAGTATATGCATGCCCCTTAGACCCTGGAGAAGCCTGGAGAAAACGTACCTCAACTAAAGAATGAAGTTAATATTCTAACACAGTCTGTGTCCAATCTGACTTCTCTTCTTGTAGGTATTTCAACAGATACACCATTTCCTTTCCCTGTATTATTCTTTTTACATGATGATTAATTTTATAAACAGAAAGAACAAAACTGTATTTGAACATGGAGGGAATCATTGAGTTGTTTTCTTAACATGGCAAATAGTTCACTTAAAGTAAGGGTCAAGACCTGACTGGTGTGGCTCAGTGGGATAGGCATCATACGGAAAATGGAAGGGTCGCCGGTTCCATTCAGGTCAGGGCACATGCCTGCGTTGTGGGTTTGGTACCCAGTTGGGGGCGTGAGAGAGGCAACCAGTGGATGTTTCCCTCACACATTGATGTTTCTCTCTCTCTCTCTCTCCCTCCCTTTCTCCCTCTAAAAATCAAAATCTTTAAAAAAATAAACTAAGGATCAACAGAACTAATAAATAGTAAGTGCTAATTTAGTCTCTTAAAAGAGAAAAAAGATATGGTTGACTTTAGCCATTTCTTTAACGGGATTAAACACAAAAAAATGCTATTGTTTATGGCTAATTTAAAAATTTTAAATGCAATTCTAGGAAAAAATGAAATCTAAAAGCTACCTTTTACAGATGATATGATTATATACCTAGATAATCCAAAGAAATAATTTAAATTTTTATTTTTAATTTTAATTTTTTTAAAGATTTTATTTATCTTTAGAGGGGAAGGGAAGGAGAGAGGGAGAGAAACATCAATGTATGGTTGCCTCTAGTGTATTCCCTGCTGGGAACTGGCCTGCAGGGAACTGGCCTGCAACCCAGGCATGTGCCCTGACTGGGAATCAAACTGCGATCCTCTGGTTTGCAGACCTGAATTTAAAATTTTATGTAGGTAAGAAATGTGTTTAACATATGTGTCATAGGTTATAACATAAGTTGATAAAAAACCAAATGCATTCTTATATATTTTATCACCAAAAATATATCACCAAACATGTATCCACAGGAGGATGAGTGATCAGTTAATTATAATAGATTCACAATATGCATGATCCTGGATAGTCAAGAACTATTTTCTCTAAGAGAACACAGTAGATCTATGTGCACTGATATTCAAAGATATCCAAGGCTTGTAAGTGAAAACACCCCATTTCAGAATGACACCCATGGCACTTTCCCATGTACGTTAACAACAACAACAAGCCAAGTGCACATGTAGATAACTGCACAGGAAGCTAGGAGGCCATACACCAAACCAGAGGTACCACTATGTATTTCTGGGGAGTGAAATGAGATTGGAGGAGAGTAGAGTGAGCAGGAGACTTTTATTTTGAACTCTATATACTAACTATAACCATATATATGTAATAAACTATTGTTTGAATTTTTCGCCCTCAGAATATGTCTGTGAAGTATTTGTATAATTAAAAAATAAATAAATAAAAACTTCATATTGGTATACAAAATTAAATACATGAGTGCCAATCTAAGTTAGGATGCATATATTTTTTTAAAGATTATTATGTAGAACTTTAGTGGGAAAAATTAAAAATGATATAAATAAATGGAAAATACATCTTACAGCTCTTTAAGAGGATGCAATACAGTAAAGATGTCACTATTTCCTAAGCCAGCAGTTTTCAACTGGTGTGCCAGAACACAAAGGTGTGCTGCAAAAATTTTTTAGATGTATAATACCTGACTACTTAGTCAGGGGCACTGACTTCTTTTCTCTTAGACTGTCAAATGGAAAAATGACAACAGCCAACAAAACAATAGCCCTCCAGTGTGAATGCCCTGTCCTGAACCATAAATATGTAGGTCATATAATACAGATGCATCTTATTGGTCATGTTGAATAATAAAATGGTAACTGATCAGTTAATTCTCAGTATTAGAAGTCCTTATAGACAAGTATAGGCACCCGATTTTTTAAAAACTCACTTTGGAGCAAAAAGCGTAGGCAATTACTATTACTACTTTTTTGTACCTTTTTTGGTCAGGTCAGCAAAAAATAAATATTTTTTTGTTGTTGTTGCAGAATTTTAGCAATTAGTTTCTGTGTGCCATGAGATGAAAAAGGTTGAAAATCACTGTCCTAAGCTAATGTATAGGTTTCAATATAAATACACAATGAAAGGTTCTTGGTAGATATCTCAGAATCTGATTACAGTGAAATTTAGCTCAAACCACCAAGACTGCCAAACAGAAGGGTTCTGAAGGCAACAGGGGTGAGCTGTGGTTTTCAGCAGTCAAGCCGCCCCTTCCCAGTCTGGTTCACTGCCTGTGCTCCCCAGTCGGATCCCCTGAGGTCCACCCCTCCTCGCTTCTGCTTTGGGTGCCCAACCTCTACCTACACCTGCATCGCATCTATTCCCAGTTGCTGGTTTTCTTTCCTGAGGATTCCTCCATGAGATTGTATGCTCTCTGATGGCAGAGACTATTTTCTGTGTACCCTGCCTGGCCCTGAGCACCAAAACTGCCACAGAGCACACACTCAAAATGTTGTTGAATAAAGCAAAGCAAATATAAGCTATATAGTTCTGGGTTTAAAACAGAAAAACTTATCAATACGATTACATAGGAACGTCCCCAAATGGGTTAAAATTTTATAAAAATTCAACATTTAATGAACAAGAAAGTTACAGTGAGTAAAAAAATCACTAATAAATATTATTGGAAAGTTGGATACTAGTAAAGAAAAATACCTTAGATTCATAGCTCATCTGATCTTATAAGCTATAATAAATTTCAAATGAATTAAGAACTTCAACATTTTCTTCAACATTTTTAAAAACTAAGAAAGAAAGGTAAGGATTTTAACCCAGGAATGAACAGTGAACCAGGAATACAAGAAGTATGACTACTGAATAGCGTCAGAAACAAGGTGCAAATGTTCAAATAAATTAAAAAATGTATAACATTTCACTATGTGTAAAAACATAAATATCAAAAGGAACTAGAATACAAATGACCAATCCTTGCCATATAAAACATATATATATTTACACAAATTCCCAGTTTCCACTTGATAAATGGTTAAAACTGGATGTGAAACAGGCAATACATTACACACAGAAAAAAAAAAGCACAGACTCCATCCTCTAAAAGATATTCAAAGTCAAATAAAACACCTTTAAGCTTTTCTCTCTTTAAAAATTTTATTTATTTATTTTTAGAGAGAGGGTAAAGGAGGGAGAAAAGCATCAATGTGTGACTGCGCTCCACGCACCCCCCACCAGGGACCTGGCCCACAGCCCAGGCATGTGCCCTGACTGGGAATTGAACTGGCGACCCTTTGGTTTGCAGGCCCACACTCAATCCACTGAGCTACACTAGCCAGGGCACCTCTAAGCTGTTTATATACTTTTGAGCTATCAAAAATATTAAACTAATAAAACCAAGTATGCTTATTGCCGATGGCAATATGGAATGTTTTCACCTTTTTAGAGAACAGTCTGGCAATATGTAACAAGAGCTATAAAATTTTTCCTGCCTGCTAGGTAAATATTATGGGTAATGAGCTATAAGATAATAGCCCAAATGAAGAAAGTAATTTATATAAAGATATTCAGTGCAGAAAAACAAAAACCACATGAATGTATACAAAAGGAGTGTTTGAGCAAACTGGTATAATACACAACAGAATAACTACAGTTGCTATTCAAAGTAGTAGGTGAAATAATGTAAACAGAATAATAGGAAAAGGTACATAGAAAATGTAGAACATAAGAAAATATATGTATACAAACATCTGTGTTTTGAAAATGTGGAGACAAAGAAATCATGTATTGAGTTCTTTTCCTATGAAGTTAAACTATTTTTTTAAAAACCCAGTTCTGGCCACGCCCAGTGTGCGGATCTTGAATCTGTGCAGAAACTACTTGGGGAAGGAGATTCTGGGTTAAGGACTGGCACTTGCCCTGACGTGACTCCAGACCTGCCTGTGATGTGATGCTTTCAAATTTTAAATGCAGTAGTGTATAAACTGTCATCTTCGGTAGAAATTACCTTCCCACACGCACGGTCCTCATATAACCCCCACTTCCCTAGTTTGTACCCACGGCTATTGCTGCTGGAAGACAAGAAGCAAAAGGGCAGGAGACACACCCCATTCACCCGTCAACCCTGACCCATCACTTGGCCTCCCTCACAAGGTAGCCAAGTGGCCCTTGTCTGGCAGCAGGAAGCCTTCCTGGTTGAGGGCAAGATTCCATTAAGCTGATACATGCTGAGAGAAAAGACATTTCATCCCAAGCAGTAGAGGGCTGTTAAAATATCAGCTGAGATTCTGGGATTCTTCCCATGCTCACTTGGCTCTCTCAAAAGAGACATCACGTGTGTTCGGGACAGAGTCTACGCTGAGCCCAATTACTCTGTACAGCCAGAAAGGAATCTTTCTCAAGGGCACCAAAAGTCACATTTAGCAGTCTTAAGGGCACAGATGTACAAACAAGTGGAGACAGAATGAAATTCTAGGTGTGCACTTACTTTCCGCAGCACATGTGATGCTTATCGGGCGTGCCCACGCCCAGGACGAGGACGCAGTACTTATGTGCCAAGTATTTCTGCGCCGCTTCTAACTTACTTAAAACCAGTTCCATCTCTTTTTTCTCTATGAGGCACCTGAAAAGAAAAGCGACGATTGGATTAACTTGGGCAAATACATATAGTAATTAATGAAAAGTCAAAAGTATAAGCTATTGTGAAAGAAATACAACGCATCTGACTCATCCTTTCATTCATTTTATTCAAGCTGTGGCAAAGGTCTTCAAACACCTTTGATATTTATCATCGTCCTCGGCGTCTCAAGTTTACGGAGAATGTTCATTCTTTTATAGATTCTTTATATGTTATGCCATATACCCTTAATTTTATAGACAGAAAGTCCTAATTTATTACCTATCTTGATTTCTGCAGCAGTTAGCAGCCCAATTCCCTGCCGTTTTGCTAAAACAGCCATGGAGACTCCCACCTCAGCTTCCTCTGGGTTCCTCGTGTTCCTACCAAGGGCAGGGGCTCAGTGTTTGACTCTGTATTTGCTGAGCAGGCATCTGTGGACTACTACTCTGAAACTTTGACATCCATCACAATAACCTCTCGATGAGAACACACCCAGTGCCAACTGAATTGCAAATGAACTTTAAAAGACAGCCAGTTAGGTTACAACATGTCTGAAGCCCAATTTTAGGAGTTTCTGTAGTATAGAAGGAAACAAACAGCATTGCCCAGAATACATTCCAGTGACTGCTATTGAAAAGGTACGTGTCACTAGCTTTTTTCCTTGACTTAACCAGAAAGATTTAAACCAAATGAAATGCACTCTAGACAACAGGGACAAATTATTGCCCCCTCTGACCTTAGGCAGGTGATGACCACGTGAGGATATGCTGGGAGGAGGGGTGGGAGTGAGAATAATATAGATAGTTCAAAGCACAAAACGTTACCACGTGTGATGAGAAGGCCTGTGAGTGGCTAAAATAAAATGAGTTTCTGGAAGAGATAAATTGGGGGTCAACCTTAAATGCCCCAATTTCATATAACACACATCCCCACGAGCCCCCCAACAGCCGTCCCTGCGCCTGCCTGCCTGTTCCCTTCAGAAGTCCCCTCCCTCACCGTCCACCCCTGCTTTGTCGTAGCTGCCAGCAACTAATATTCTTCTTTTTTTGTAAACAAAACAAACCAAACAACAATCAAGAGACACCTTGAGCCTTTTAGCCCAATGGCTCTCAAATTTTAAAATACGTAAGAATCACCAGGGGTTTACTTGCTAAAAGTACAGATTCTCAATGCCACGTCCTCTCAAAGATTCTGGTTCAGGTTGGGGTAGAACATTTAAAAACAAGCCCAGGTATAATTCTCTGGAAAAAAAACTGGTAATTATTTTAAGTAGCATACAATTGGTCATAAACTTTAATCCAATCATCTCTCCTGAAATATATTCTTTTAAAAAATCATCCAAAAATTAGGGGAACATCTAATGCATGAAGATATTCAATACAATCATCAATCTTTGGTTCGCATGCCAGCACTCAATCTGCTGAGCCACGCCAGGCAGGGCTCATTAGTCTTCTGTCTATCAGAAAAACTAGAAACTCCCCAAATATACAAAAATAGAGCTATGAAATGAGTAGTAATGCAGGCAGTAGTAACATAGCCAGGTACTGGTTAACCTAACACATGGCTCTCTGTGACATTTAAGCCATTGGTCAAAGTCTGTATGCCCTTAACCACTACACATACTGTCTCTTAACAGGTAAGTCAGTAAGTCAATAACACACATGAGCTTGATGGAATGCTATGTCACCACTGAAGATTATAATTATGAAGACTGTAATGACAAAAATACTTATGACATAATGTTTAAAACTACATACATTTAAAAAACTGCATACATAATTGTGCCTTTGTTCAGAAACTATATGTCTGAAGGTGGAGGGAAGGTACAGTGACCCTTGAACCACAGGGGTATCTTAAAACTGAAAAATGATGTGGGGGGAGGGGAAGGGGGATATAAGGAGGATAAATGGTAATAAAAAATACAATAAAAAAAGGAAAAAAGACTGAAAAACAAACCAGGCGAGTCCACTAGTTCTAACAGAATTTATTACAGGGTAAGTTACTTACAAAGGGTAAGCCTGGAGCAGACAGACAACAGATGGGCGTGAGTCTGCATAGCTAACCTCTCCAGCCATGCGGTTATCACAGCACGTATTCTACAGTTGAGCTGAACTACTAATGATTGACAAGAGAAAGGGGAAAGAATGCAGTACAAACCAGGAACCCTACCTCTTGATGGTCTTTGATGGATACTGGCTTAGAACTGACGACAACACCTAGTTTGATATTCACCTGAGTTGCTATGCCATTCTGACAGTTTACTGACAGGAATATTGATAACTACATTGTGTAAGTTTACAGGACACAGAGAATCATTAACTAGGGCTTTGGTGTTGGCTGATACCAGTTAGGTCAGAGTTCTCGTGATGGAAACTTAAAAAGCAGTAAAAGCAGGGATACAGAGATGGATGCGGTTTTGTTCACAGCAACAGCTACACACTCTCACTCTCACTAGGAATGGCTGAACTGTGGAAAAGGAGCACAGTTGACTGGTAGCAGGTGGTGGGCACAGTGCACAGTGGTTGAGGCACAGGCTTTCGAGTTAGACAGACGTGGGATTTCATGTCAGCTCCATCAATTACAGGTATGTCATTGCCAGCCCATTATTCAACTTCTTGAGCCTTAGCTTCTTCATCTGTAAAATGAGGATAGGGCTCCTTTTTTCTTCTGCAAGTAAGGGTTTTAATCATCTAAAACCCTGGAACTGCATCTTTGCTGTCCTCCTGCATCCCTTTCTGCTTCTCTCTCATGGTTTATAGGCTTTCCTCCCGAGTGCCAAGCACTGGGTTAGGATAAATGGTTATTCAGTAGTAATGTTATCTTGGTACTTAGTTTGATTTTTTTTATCGTTATTTACATCCCACTCTCAATGCATTTATTTCTATTTAGCAAAACTACTAGAAGCCTGAAAATAAAGTTACCATAACTTTTGAACGGTGGGAGGGCTTTTATTAAAGCTGGGGACAGTGAAACAAAGAAGAGCTTAAAATAGAAGAGGCAAGATCGTGGCAAAAGGAGAGAGTCTGGGCTGAGCCGCCTTGACCCGTGAGGAAGAGTCGAGCCTGGGTGAGGCTGCCTTGGCCTTTAAGAAAGTCACAGAAGCAGACAGAGTGAGCCAACTGGGCTGAGCAGACTCAGGAAACAAGTTAAAGAGGCAAAAAAAGAAGGGCCCTCGGAGACAGGTTCAGAGAACTGGCCTGGGGCACACTGCTGCTTCAGTTGCAAGTCCGTGGGAACCCTCGGAGTTTAGGAGAAAGCAAAAATACACACCTGAGGACAGAGGCACAGGTGTGCTCGAGAGAGAGCAGGCTTGCTTTTCTATTTATCGTTCTATGACTGACTCCTTCTATGAAAGCCTACCTCACACCACTGTGTTCTAACAAGTTTTTGTGAGTTTTTAAAATAACTAAGAAACCTTTCTTTTGTTTTCTAGTCCTATAAATTAAGAAATGAAGCAAATCGCTCTGCTATATTACCAATAATCCTCAGAATTAGGGGAGAAAACGCCTACAAAACATAAGCCAACTTGTCAGCAAAGTCTAACAAGTCCCTTTTTGGGAACAGTGAGACTCCTCGGACCTCCTGAGCCCACAGTCGGCTCCGAGCCCTGACACTCGCTCTCACAGAAGCACTTCACGACCTTTGGGTGCCCTGCTGTGAAATGGAGCCCTGAAATAACACAGAGGATGCGTATCATGGTGAGGTTACCAGAGCAGCAGAGTTTGAATTATTTATTTGATCCTTTACAAAACTGCTGTCCATAAAATCAAACTGCTCGGTTTTATACGAGGATTTTATCCATGAAATCAAGTTGCTTGGCTGTATACAAGGAATGTTTGGCAGAATGAAAACATTCTGCAGCAACAGATTAATGACTCTACCAGCATTCCTAACGGCTAAATCATTGGGTTGGTTCTGCTGGAGAGGGCAGGCTGGGCGTTTGGAAAGTTCCGTGGCTTTTGAAAGGTCACCAGGCCTGAGAGCCATTGTTCTGCTCTGGACTCAGTTCCAGATTCTCGCCCTGGGTGTGTAGCTCTGAGCCACCTCTGTCTAAAGCAGTCAGATTCTTCAAATGTAGCCTAAGTAATGTTACGGGGTTTTTTTCCTGTGATATGAAATATTATTTTGGTTAACTCTACTAACTTTTTAAATTCTTATGGGTTTTTAAAAAGATTTTATTTATTTATTTTTAGAGACAGGGGAAGGGAGGAATAAAGAGAGGGAGAGAAACATCAGTGTGTGGTTGCCTCTCATACCACCCCCACCAGGGACCCAGCCCACAACCCAGGCATGTGCCCTGACTGGGAATTGAACCAATGACCTTTTGGTTCGCAGGCCAGTACTCAGCCCACTGAGCCACGCCAGCCAGGGTTAATTCCTAGGTTTAAAAAAAAATATTTTTAATCTTCAACTGAGGATATGTTTTGATTTTAGGGAGAAAGAAAGGAAGAGAGTGAGAGAGACAGAGACACCCATCGGTTGCCTCCTGCACATGCCCTGACTGAGGATCAACCTGCGACCAAGGTCCGTGCCCTGACCTGAAATCTAACCTGCAACCCTTTGGTGTACAAGACAATGCTCCAACAAACAGAGCCACCTGACCAGGACTAATTCTTAGTTTTTTAATTAGATGCTTACAAACCCATTAGCAAGAAAAAGCATACAAATAATATCTGTATTTGCCCCGTTCACTATGGTAGCCATGAGCTACACGTGGCTACTGAACACTCACTGTGGCTCGTACAAGTCGGGATGTGTTCTAAGTATAAAATAGGTACCAAATTTCAAAGACTTACTACAAAAAAGTAGGGAAGTATTCCATCAATAACTACCGAATGTTGACTGCCTGTTGCAATGATAACATGTTGGGGTCATTCAGTTAAATAAAATATATTAAAATTAATTTCACTTGTCTTTGTTGACCTTTTAAAAATAAGGTTATTAGAAAGTTTTAAATTACATATGTGGCTCTCATAGTTCTATCAGGCAGTGCTTGTCTATATTATTTGCAGTATTTTGTTACCAAAATATCCACCTGAATTATTCAGTGGGCTTTAAAAACTGGTGAACTCCTCCCAAGTAAAATGTTTTAGTTTACTACAAATACTTAAAATTTTCCATCACCTCTTCACCCTAGACAAAAGTTAGTTTTAATACTGGTAGTGAAGAAATTTTAAAGACATTGCAAAATCCTACTTACACCATACAGCTCTTGGGCTTCTTTTCCAGTGAGATTTTTTCCAAGAAATGAGATAAATAGTATAATAATGCCATGAGGAAATCGTCAAGGTTCTTATTTCTATAGGGAGGTGAGAAAAAAAGAAATTAACACATATCTCAAACATAAGTTTCTCATAAAAATCTATAAGAACACACAGCATAATAAGTAGAAACATGGTATCATGTCTATCATACAACATATTTCCCATTTAAAATTCTGTACTATACTGTTTAAGATGTAAGAAGGCTGGCCCTGACTGGCATAGCTCCGTGGATTGAGCCCAGGCTGCGAACCAAAGTGTTGCCAGTTCAATTCCCAGTCAGGGCACATGCCTGGGTTGCAGGCCAGGTCCCCAATGGGGGCCATGTAGGAGGCAACCACACACTGATGTTTCTCTAACTGTCTCCCTCCCTTTCCCTGTCTAAAAATAAATAAAATCTTTAAAAAAATAAAATAAAGTAAATTTAAAAAAAGGAAGTCTGATTTTTGTAAACAAAACTTTCTGGAAGGTCAGACATTAAATTATCATTTTAATAATTGATAACTGAAATTGATACATTTTGCTTATCAGTTAGTATTAAATTTTAAAAAGTTTTAGCCCTAGCCCATGTGTCTCAGTTGGTTGGAGGATGGCCCTGTGAACTGAAAGGTCTTGGGTTCGATTCCCAGTCAGGGCACATCCCTAGGCTGTGGGTTCCATCCGCAGCTGGGGCACGACCGATTGATGTCCCTCTGTCTCAGCGCCTTTCTCTCTCTTTCTCTCCCCCCCTCCCTTCCTCGCTCTCTAAAATCAATGAGCATGTCCTCAAGAGAGAATACAAATGTTTTTATTTTCCACTGTTTAAAAAATGTACACAAATGTAGCAAGTAAAAAAGTTTTCTCCTCTCACCCCTCTGTCACCATCCTATTCCCTGGTGGTAACCATGTTACCAGTTTGTTATGAATCCTTCTTAAACTTTCTAAAGCATAGACAATCACATACATACAAGGTACCCCCCCCACACTAACACACACGCTTCCTCTCTTTTGGCCTGGGTCACTGAGAGGATAGCTTGCGTAGAACCGGGCCCATGCCTTCCCCCAAAAATCAGATTTGTCATCATTTATCAGACAGAATGACTTCAGAATAGAGAATAAAAGATCTGAAATGTCTCACAAGCACCACGTACTTCATAAATGTTGTGAATGAGCAGATGCGCTGAATCTCAGTCTCTTGTAGCAAAAGCAAAGCAACAACTGGAAAAGAAGACGGACAATTGAAAGAGGGACAGAGAGTTCCTCAGAGGCTCTCACCAGATAAGATATAGGACGAGGAAGCAGTGACTCACATTTAGCATCCTGTAGTGTAACGCTGCCCTGCTGACCTCGTTTCTCTAAGGCTTGAAGTGACTTAGCGTCTCTGGAGGCAAATCTTTTATCTGTCAACCTGTTTTAGAATGTAACAGTCTCTACTATTGCTTTGAAAGGCCTTAATTATATTTAATCTATCCTGAGGTAGATGAGGCTTTTACTATAAAGTAGTAAGAGCCTAATTCTCAATCTTGGGTTTTGTTTAAGGTAGGATCATTTCAGAAAATGTTTTATTAAACATTATATGTACCATACGATGGGTACAAGCGATGTATGCACCTGACATAAAGGGGAAAAGCCAATTCCACCCAAAATAGATCAGTTGAATCATCTATTTACAGTATAGATACTATTTTCAGGTTTAAAAAAAAGTATGAAAAGCTAAAAATTTGCTAATAGGCAAATTATAACAGGAATACATTTCTAGGGACAACTGTAACTCCCATCATAATCATGAAGTAGTGTATGTTCTTTACTTGATGGGTATTTGCACTTCAACCTAGGAGAATGGGAATGACATTTTCTTCGAGTTTGTAAAGGCTTAACCCATTCTGCCGAGGGGCACTAACATGGCTGGAAAGTGGAGATACCTGTCTGCAGCAGCACCATCAATCTCAGCAAAGTGAACTGCTTTGCCTTTCCTTGCTTTTTCCTTGAGTTCTACTGCAGGTGTAAAACTGTAATAGAAACAAGAGAATTGGGAACTTGACCTTTTCCCAGGGAAAACAAATCATGCCATGACCGTAGCTTGTGTAATCTCAGGACCAGGACACACTATGAGAGGAGCTTGAAGAGAATGTGAGGCACAGCATTACTCAACTTATGCGTTTGCATATGGAATAATCATCTAGAAAGGGACTAAAATTTCAGATCTTATAGTCAGCCTCTCCGTATCAGCAGCCTCCAGAATACCACCATGCACAAAATGTTTTTGTTTGAAAACATTTTAGTAAGTTCACAAGACACAAAACTCATAAGTTTGAAAGAATTTTTTGATTTATTGAGTACGCTCTTCTCAGTCCCATCCCTACGATTCAAATTTTCTTACCTTATTAGTTTGCCTGAGATAATTCAAGGCTAGAGTACCCTAAAATAAGAAATTTGAAAGAATGTATTTAGGACTATCATGTGGATCAGGTCTATGAACCAAGTCGAATGAACTTAGAATTATAAAATCAAAACTTCGGGGTTAGAGGACATCTGAAGGATCACCTAGTGCATGGTTGTCACTTTACTGACGGAGAACAAAGGCTCAGAGAAGTTGACCCATGTCTCATGGTTTGAAATCTGTGGCAGGCAGTGCCTGTCCTTAGCCAATAGTCTGGCACTTACTGCTAAACCTCTAGTCCTTATTCGCTACCCTCTGGACACGCCTTTCCTACTTCACACTTGTCTGAGTGGCTTTTCACTTGACCAAAGTCATTCTTTAACCCTCTGGTGAGATGGTTTTTTTGTTAGTGCCCTGCCGCAGCTCTGGTGGCAGCCTGCACTCTCAGTACACGTGGTTGGAGTCACTAAAACATCACTAGTAATAACTGAAAACTGTCCTTTGAACTGCACCTCTGACTGGCTCCCCACCACAGGCTGAGCTAGTTCTGTACCCTCCTACAGCCCCCACCGCCTCCCCCTCAATCTGACCACCCACTTAGAATCTAGTCCTTTTACAGACTATATTTGGTTAATGTGTTTTCTTAATATTACGACATAATCATGTTGTTTCCCTTTGCCCTGAAATACATGAGAAAATCATATTTTCCCTGTAGAACCCACCACTAAAATGTAGAGCACTCTTGGCTTCCATGCAAGTAAGAGCTCTTCAGTGGTTGGTTAGTAGTCTTCTCTTGGTTAGTAACCACCTTAATGAGAAGCAAGAGAAAAGCAGGGCTTTTGGAGGTGTAGTTTTCTATGTATGTCCTCAGGGGAGTCAGTGACCTTGGCAAAGATTCGTACAGGCTGCTGGGAGTAGGGGCACTTGAAACAAGAATGGATGGGACTGCTGACACTGTGTCGGAGAGAAGCATGCCTCATGGGCCAACCTAGATGTGGCCTGTGAATAAAGGCATTCCCTCTTTAACAAATATGAAATGGGCATGCGTGCTGATAAATTGTGCAACACTGTCATTTATTCCTCATGAGGCATTATGATGTCATTTTATAGGTGAGAGAGCTGATATTAGCAAGACTAACTTGATGAATGATAACCACCTGGGAGGCAGGAGAGCTAGGATCTGAACACAGGTCTTCTGCAAACCAGTCTTTACTGTCTCTTCCTTCTTTCCTGCCTATTAAGGAATAAAGACCATCTTCCCCTATCCATTACTGTGTGTCCATTTCGTGCATGGAGGTTATGGGTATCCTGTTGTATCCTGATAGTTATTTCCCTCAGGGTATAGTCTGGAAAGGTAAGGCAAGATCTGCCTGTTAATAGGGTCCTAGGTCTTCTCTAAAGGGTAAGATTTTCAGAGTCATTAATCTAGGAAAGATGCCAGGAAATGCAAGGTGGGAGAGAGGAAAGGGACTGTCTTTTCTTGGTTTCAACTTGAGCATACCTAGAAGTCTTCAAACTCCTGTTGGCTGGCAGGTGTAAAAAGTGGCCTACCCCATGTGGAAGGAGACTAAAATCAAGGCAGAGACTTCGGACAGAATGTGAATGTCCCAGAGATCAAGCTGTTACTTTGCAAAGCAAATTTTTCTCCCTGTTGCTGGATGTTCTTTCTTAGTCTCCTAAAGCCCCTCTTCCCAATTACGTTCCCTAAAAGAGGGCCTATACCTCAAGGTTCCATTTAGTTACTCTCTTCAATTCCTCTGAGTAATTTCACGTACTTAACTAATTCCAATGTAAGGTTTACATTTTCCTGCAAACACATAAACTCATACATCTGCCTGTTGGACACCTGCGCTTGCACACTCTCCAGACACCTCAAACTCAGTATGTCCAAAACTGAACTCATTCCCCTTTCACTTGTATCCACTATTCCTATGTCTCACAACTCAGCAAAGAGATGCCACCACCCACCCAGGTGTCTGAGGCAGTAAATGTGTGATCCTTGATTTTTCTATCATTCTTGAGCCCTCACAGTCCACTTATCGCTTGTCTACTCCCCTCTCCTCCCTCTGCCACCACATTAATTTTAGACACCATCATCTGTCAACTAAATTTCTGCGATTGCTTCTTAATTATTCTCCCTGCCTCCAGTCTTGTCTCCCTCCAAACATTTTCTATGCTGCAGGCACAGTCATCTTCCTAAGATGTGATTCTAATCACAGGTTACTTTCCTGCTTAAGAGCTTTTGATGTCTCCCCCGAACCCTGTGAATAAATTTCAACTACCTCTGCATTGTGTGCAAGACTTTTCATTATCCTGCCCTGGTCTACTTTGTCTCTAAACACTGGGAACTCTATACCCAGCCTGCTGGACTACCTGCAGTCCTAAACATGTCCCACGCCCTCTTGAGAACGGGCTTTTGCACATGCCGTTCCTTCTGAGAATGCACTTCCTTCCTTCCCAACCAAATCTCTTTCTGCCTTGTCAACTCTTCCTCCTCAGGTCTTGGCTTGGCTATTACCGCCCCTGGGAAGCTGTCCCTGTCTTCTGGACTTCAGGCAACGGTCCCATTTGGGTACTGCGTCAGGGTTCTTGGGTGGATGTGGTTTTCCTCTGCCTTAGCCCAGTCCACTGTGGCAGTGGTAGCAGTTACTGGTGAATGAGTCCCTAGGGGAGCAGCAATCTCAGGAGAAGAGTTCGGGTCAGCAACTGTGCTACCCAAGATTCTCCTTCCTATTGTTTATTTTCAATAAGGAGAGCATCATAGATATTCCTCCCTTGCACTTTCAAATTCCCATGCTGTCCTGTCTGTATTACCTCCTTCCCATCATGCACAGTGGAAAAACTGCTTCTATCTTTTTCAAGCTAACCTGTGACATTGATCCTATTCCGACCTTCCTTCTTTTCTCTTCCATCTCTTCCTTCTCCCAAAACAAACAGTTTTTCTAATACAGAACCACCAAAAATCTCCTTTCCTTAGTACTGGAAGCCCTAAAGACTACCATCTCTTCCTTTCCTTTTTCACTGGTAAATTTACTTAGAGAAGTACTCTATTTTGCTAGTTTCTCATCTTTATCTCAGATTTTCTCCTCGTCCAATTTCTCCCCTTATCTAATTTCCACCCTACCTCGCCCCTGAAACTGTTGCTCACTTAGGTCCTTAGCAATCCCTAACTTGTTAAATCCAAAGATGGGCTTCTTTTTAGTATATGCTCCACCCTGAGCTTTCTCCAGCATCTAACATTTCTGACCACTCTCCATTCCAATCCCTCTTCTTAGGAAACTTTCTTTGGCCTTTGAAGGCTTGTGTGTCTCAGGGTTTTTCCTTTCACCCTTCTAATCATTCTTCCTCTTTGGCTAGCTCTAGAAGGAGTCTGTGACTCTCTCTTCTCCTGCAAGTAATCTCCCCCTTGGTTTGCCGCATAACTAACTGTCTTGTCTCCTTAGCTCTGATCTCACCCCTCCTCGCCACCACGGGGGAGGGCTTTGTAGAGCATAGACGCAGTGTTGGTGGTACACGTAGTAAAGGCTTGTGGAGTGGCGCCAAACAGAACTAAACCTAAGAGCAGTGACCACACTGGCCTTCTCCCTCCGCAGCACCCACCCTTACCACCGTCACCTCTCAACCTCCTTTGCCTCTGCCCTGTCTCATCGCCATAGATTGGGGTGACATAAGTCTATACAGCATTGTCTCTGGAAAAAAGAGCATGTTCCAGTTCATGAGTCCTCTCTAACTTCAAACCTACTTTTTAATTTGTGATGGGATATGCTTAGGCTTTTAGAGAGAATCAGTACCTATATTTCCATCAAATCCAAATACTAACTCTGACCTAAAACACACAAAGTTCTGCTTTCCTCTTCCTTAGTACTGGCCCTAGCAGCTGGACTCCCAAGGTAGTCTTGGTTTGCTGCACAAAGTAGCTTCAACACAAAGCAGCCCAACCACAAAGGAACTGCCCCCAGTCCCCCATCTATTCTTCATGGTATTCCTTTCTCCATCACTCCTAACTATATCCAATTTGTATATTCCACAGAGTTTGGAGATGGGTTCATTTGGTTTTTTAATTTTAAAACTGAAGTATAGCTTACATAGTAGTAAAGCACGTAACTCTTAAGTAGACAGCTTGATGAATTTTATATTGCGTATATAGGTACCCACTGTAACTGCTGCCCAGGTAACAATATAGCCCATTTCCAGCATCTCAGAAGATTCTAGGGTGCCTTCCCCCAGCCCTGGCCAGGTGGTACACCCCTGAAGCTGACCATTATGCTCACCTCTACCATCAGAGTTCTTTTTTCTGTTATTTTAAACTCATATATAAATAGAATCATACAGTATTTACATTTTTGGGCCTGGCCTGTTTCGTTCAACATTATACCATATATTTTACCTTTTAAATCAATCCTCCCATGCATATTCTCTGAAATTATTGGGAAGCAATCAAGATGTTTTCAAAAAATAATTTGGTAGTGAACCAAATTAATAGTTTATAAATGTGAATATTTTATGAATAAAAAATTAGAGTAAAATTGGTATCTATGAATTTATTAGTATGCTTATATGGGAAATAGTGCCACTTGTGGTGGATCATTATTATTAGATTAATATTGAAGATTAGTTTGAAAAGTTCTACAAATTAAGTAAATTTACAAAGAAGGTCAGTAAGTAAAATATATGGTCCAGTTTTCATCATAAAAGAGAGGATTGAGATGGCTTTTAAATATATGTGAAGGTGAAAAAAATGTTGGCACTTAAAAGTTTATTTCTACAAAGACACTGAAATAGAGAACAGGGGGACAGTGACCAGAGGGGAGAGGGGAGGGAATTTCAGGGGAAAAGGGGAAGGGTTTACAGGAACAAGTATAAAGGACACGTGGACAACAACTAAGGGGGTGGCAATGGGAGGGAGGTGGGGAGCTGGGGGGGTGGGCTGGGATGGGAGTAAAAGACAGAAAACTTTACTTGAACAATAATTAAATTTAAAAATTTTTAAGTTTATTTCTGTATGTTCTTGTGCTCCAGAATGCATTTCGTCTGTCTAATCCCAAAGCTGTCTTTCTGTCTTTCCTTCTCATTGTCTTTCCTTCTCACTGTCTATCTCACACTCACTGAGTCTGATGTTTCGGGAACTACTCAATAGAATTCTCTGTGACATGTCCGAGAACAAAAACTGAACAATCGCTGCTTTGGAAATGACGGAGTACTCAAATCCTGAAATAAATACTCTATGAAATATAAACTTTTGATTATGACTCTAATGTACTGTTTAGCCTTTAAATTATTGATATTTAATTTACACTAAATACAATGTAACTGTAAATTACATCTGTTTAGCCAACTCCTTTCCTGTCCTCCAGCCCCATTTGTCCAACCGTCTAAAGATATACCTGTGGGGATATGGCATAACTTCCTTAAACACATCACCAGTTTTGCCTTTTTTATTCAGTATATGGGTGAAGGGCAACCCCAGCCACCCAAGCCACATACCTAGGGGTCAATCTAAACACCTACTTCACACCCAGGGACCACATTCTATCAATTCTACCCAAACATCCTGTCCATTCAATCTTTTAAGTATCTCTTGGTCCTGCACCCTTCTCTCTATTGCTACCAGCACAGACTGGGTCCTGTTTTGTTTTGTTTTAACCTGTATAACTATTTGTAATCCTCCTACAACTAATCTTCTAATTGGTCCCTGCCTCTAGTGTTTCTCTGCTTGAAATGTAGTCGGTTTACTGAACAATAAACATTTGGTACATGTCTATTTATGAAGTTCATCAGATGGCTCCAGAGGCTGGAAGATGAGTAACATAGTTCCTGCCACTGAGGGACTTAACATTGGTGGGATTTGAATGGATATTTATTGTATTCTCCATACCCTTTGTATTGCCTGATTTTTTTTTTACCACAAGCACATGCATTTTTTATAAATGCTATAATAAAGTTTTATTAAAATGTACCTTTTGAATTCAAGAGTTTTGGTTTCATCTTTCCAGTACCACATGCCTAATCGTAATCCCGACTGCTGTAAAATAAAATCATTGCAGCAAAAATAATTAAAAGTTCAATTTGCAATCCACAAGTCATAATAAACATTTAACAGTAATTCCCACTAGTTGCTTTTCATTCCATAAAGATGGAGACTGTTAAAGGGTGTTCTTTTTTTTAATTTGAACTGGGATTTTCTCTTTTTTTCTGGTTTGTAGGCGTAGTTTCAATAGAAAGGAAGGAAGGGAAATTACAAAATTTAGCCTGCACTGTCTCAAAGCCCATGGTAACAAATGACGGATGAATTGGGGCTCAAACCACAAGAAACGATGCCCCGAACAGCCTCGACCTAATAGTACAGACACTCATAATAGAAGCCTGCTCTAAAAGTTGGCAAAGAACAATCAGCCAAGTGTGCCCCCGCCCCCCTGTTCTTTGCCACCGACCCACCGGCCTTTCCTCTCCCTGCTCTGTCCCGGAGCCGACTGCCTCCCACGCAGGGGAGCTCTTTATTTCGGGGATGGAGAGATAGCACTTCCATAAATACCTAAATATCTGCGCAGGGAGCCAGAATCCTTTCTGGCCTTTGCCGAATACAATTCCACAGTTTTTGTTTTCGTAGGCGCTGAGCCCCGCGGCTCTGAGTCCGCTCGGCCGGGGCCCGGGCGGCGGCTCAGCGGGGCAGGCGCGCAGAGGGGGAGCCGGGCGTCGGGGCGCCGCGGGCCGGGCCAGGGCAGCAGGGCGGCCTCCCACCCGCCGCCCGGCTTAGGGCGACCCCGGCTGCACTTACTTCCTGCCAGGTAGCCCCCTGCGCTGCCAAACGCCTCCTCCTCAGATAGTCCTCCCGCACCTGGTTCATGGTCTCCCACACTGCGCGTCACGGCGTCGCCTAGGCAACTGGCGGGTCACGCCCTGAAACTGCGCCCCGGGCCAGTGGCCGAGGCGGATCGGGGGACGCTAGACATCGGCGTTCCAACGGCCACCTAGCGACAGCCTTTGCTGTGGTGGCAAATTGGAGTATCCATAGCAAAGCTGCCCAGGGGTGGGGGTGGGAGTCAGGGGGTGTATTCCATGAACTGACTCCTTCACTGTACTGTTTTGGGTTTACTTGGAATAATTAGGTTCACTTCCTCAGAGAAGTTCTCTTCGTTCCAGGTGGGACTAGGTTGATTGGGGCGGGGAAGAGTAGTCGAGGAAGCTTGGAAATACGGTTCTCAAATCTTTGATCTGCATAACTAGAAGATACCCAAATCAGGGGTTAAGATTTTTAAGGAGTAATGTGTGTAAACCACCACCCTTCATAAGTACTCAAAAGCAGTGCTGCTTAGAGCAAAGAAACTGCTTTATGTCAATGGGTATTCAATTGATATTTTTACATTTACTCTTCTCACTTTTCAAATCGTGTTGTAATTTCTTCTTGCAACTGCGTTGGTATAGATATTGTAGTTCTTTTCTTCCAATCCTAATATAAGCATGCTAGCAGACACATGATTGAGAATGTCTCATATATTCTTTTGTTTTATTCCCACAGCTTACTTAGCATAAGATGCTTAGTAAACAGTTGGTGATTATATACTCCCATAAACTTTAATACTATGACAATAGACATTCCTACTATCTCCACTCTCTCGGTCTCACTACTTGATAAGACAATCACTGGTTACAATAATATAAAATTGTAATCACTTAGATTTACCTTCCATTCACTTTTGTTCATTGCTGGTAGCTGTTCCCATTAGCTCAGGATACATAAAACCCCACCTACCTATTCGCTGGCCGTGCTGCCTTGAGGCCGTGGCCTCAAGGCTGGCTTCCTACAAGATGACTCATTTGAAAAGGAGTAAGACTATTCCATTCACCAAGAGTTTTTCACCAAACAGTATATATAACCTGGGGTGGGGTGGACAGGGAGAAATAACAAGCTAAAGCTCCAGAAAAACCTGGAATCTATTCACCTGACAACTGTTATTAGGAAGATCACACTTCAGTCGACCAATTTATCCCAATGAGTGGAGAACAACAAAGATCTTTTACACCTCTCCATAGTCTAACTTCGGGCTGTCTAATGTATAAAACTAAGGTAAAAAATAAGAGTTGAGAACCCCAAATAATGAGAAGCCCTACATAAATGTTTCATGACAAGTTATTTCACAGGTGCTAGAAGGAACAGTATTTAAAGGAACCCTTCTAATTCATCTTATACTTCCGTATTACCAACTCCTAACAAAAGAAGGAAGATTGTTTTTATTGCTCTAAATCATTACTGTAAAATTGACCCACTCATTTCTCAGGTTACATTTTGCACCAAATAGGTGTTTTTTATAACATTAGAAACTCACAACCTAAAATGTAAATAACTTTCCTTTTAGAAAAAAATCACGACGTTATAAAGTAGGGGTAAAAGTACTATCTAATTAACAATGCCAAGTGTCCTGTGATGGAAAGGTTTTGTTGGGTGGGTTTTTTTCCCCCTAATTAAAAGAAACATTTCAAGGTCATATAACTAAGAGCATATAATATAGAACTGAATTGCTGGTCCCAGATTTTTAGGTGTAAAACATTAACTGAATTACAATGCATGCTTATGCTGTTACTGGTCAAGGGACCTGGTCCTGAGCAGGTCTGCCTGGGGCTAACCAATAGTGTGTGGGTTCTTGAATTCATGCAGGAGAGATTTCACAACAGGAGTCCAGGTGATTGCGAGCAGGTTTATTGAAGTTGAGGTCAGTGAAACAAGAAAGGGTTTAGTATAGAACCAGCAACAGGAGAGACCTAGGCTGGCTGCTTTGGCACTCTAAAAATGTTACAGGAAAGAAATGAGCCCAGGTAGGGCTGCTTTAGCTCACTGAGAAAAGGAGGCCTGGAGACAGGTTCAGGAGGTTAGCCTGGGACAGGATGAGCTGCTGCTACCCACTGCAAGTCTCATGGGGATGCTTAAAGTATGGGAGATGCATGCCCGCTGGGGAAGAGGAAGGGAAAAGGAAAGGTGTAGGCATGCTTCCCAGAGGGAGAGAACAGGCTGGGTCCTTTGTCTTGGGGATTTTCTCTCTCTCTCTTGCTGGCAGGAATTTTAGAGGAGGTTTCAGGGAAGAGTTTCAGCAGAATATTATTCATCAGTAGAATATTCACTAGTTTTCCAGGGGTGCCCTTTCAGGGTCATGGTCTCTACTGATTAGTCAACCAGTAGAGGGGTCATTAGTCACTGAGGCTGGTCCTGGTGTCACCCACCTGGTTTTGACTCTTTTCTGGGCCTGGAGCTGAAATACAACTGAGGCCTAGATGTTATCTCCAGGGAGCTGACTTCTGCATCTGGCTGTAAGTTGCTTGGCCAGTTTGTTCAGCAGTCTGTCTCAGTTTCTCCATTCTATTTGCCAAGGGATTTTCCTAGCTTCTTGTTGTCCTGCCTCAATATTATGAAAAAGTCATAATGGACATGTTTTCATAGTGTTACAATTTTACCTTTAAAAATTAACATGTAAGGATGTGGCAATGATGGTATTTGAATAGCAACTCCATTTTTGGTTGCTCACTTCCCTAATCTTGAATTCACAAACAACCTAATAATCTATCCTGAAAGTGGTGGAGAAAAGAGCCTATGGCTTCTTGATTTTATGTATTGATAAAAGAAAGACATTTCTACAATAAATATCGCCCTATTACGTTTCAGAAATGCCTATATCCATTCCAAGAGTTATATCAAAAGTAAATACTGGTCTCTTTTCCCAAAGATCCTTACTTTTTCGTCAAGGAATGAAATTCTGTATCTAATTTTAATGCTTAAGGACAGTCCTTCAAAAGTTTTCTGATACTTATTTACAAATTAAATATACAGAAGCAATTGGATATTCTTGTTCTTTAATGTATATACTTTTATGAAATATGTAAAGTTCTTTGTATAAAATATATAAATATAAAATATATTTTAGAATATATATTTTAGCAATTGTAATATATGGGTTTGAGATTCTTTAAAACTTTAATTACAGTGTTCAAGGAAGAGGAAAATGCCTCACAACACAACTTTTATAAACTACATTCCATTTAAAGTAGGTGAAGGCCTTATCATGGGCCTAGTATTTGAACTTCATAAAAAGAAATCTTTTGATTTCATCTAAATAACCAGGTTGTATTCCTACTTAAGATTATATATAGGATAAAGAAATTCTTGTTTAGTCTCCCTGATGTATTGATTAGATGATTCACTAAATATCCTATTCTATATAAGTTTAAATATATATCATTAATACCTCCTAATATGTAAGTTTTAATGCATTAACATTATACCTATCAAATTAATACTATAAAAAATTTAGAGTGAGCTTGTTTTGAAACACCACACATCTCAAATACTGTAAATTACCTAGTATGTGTTATTTTAACAGGTATCTAGCTTCATTGCCTCAAAACAGGGACAACTGTGTTAATTAGACATTCAGGTAAGAAGAATTTAAGTGCCTATTCTGAGAAATGTATTTTTTATTCTACATGTACTGCATTTGCTTTAGTCATAAATGACCACTAGTCTCTAACATAACTCACTACTTTAAAGTTCAAGTGATGCTTAATTAATTCTTAAACTGTAATTTAGCCTTGTCCTAACATCAAGTACTTTTTCCATTGTCATTTGACTATAGCTGATCTAACATTTGCTAAGGAGTTCCCAGGGGTTATTGGGTTACTAGTTTCAACTGACCCCTGGAAACACTGAATGGCTGCTTTGGTAGCTTTATCTTAATAACATTCAGATCTAGATAAATTTGAGAAGACAGAATTAAAGAAAAAACACTCAAGAAAGCTAGAAGTTTTACAAATTACTTTTCAAAATAATAGAAAATAAGTGTTTACATAGATCGAAATTGGTGTTATAGCCAGTTACCATAGGCCTGGCCACAGGATCAAAGAGACTACCTCCGGTCATTTTTCTGTTACTTTAGAAGCTAGTATCTTTTAAAGTGAGGTCTAAAATGAGTCATACTAATACCAGATTGCACTTACAGAAAGACTCCATTACATTCTGAAGTTAGAGCAAGGGATAAACACTTTCAACACATAAAGATCTAACAGAAGCTTAATAGCACGGGTATTATCTTGGTAAAAATGAAAGCTCAAAGTCACTCTAAGGCTATTAATGATCTGTTTTCTTAATAACAAGTAGTTTGTCAAATATCTGTGATATCTGTAGTCAGTGAAACACCATTATACCTCCTTGCTGAAAATTTTCCATTAGTGTGGCACCGGCGCTGAGAACTCCAAGTTATCTTCAGCTTTTCAGTGTAATTTCTAAAAGTTTATTTTGAAGTAATTTCACAATTGCTTTTTTATCTTCATCCCCCACCCAAATGAGACCTGCTGGGGTTGGGGGGAAGGAAATGTGTATGTACTTAAGAGTCATTTCTTGTGTGAGGGTCATTACCAAAGCCCAGTTTTAGGCTAATTTGTTCCCTACTTTTGATTCCCTCTGCATAATAAAGATCCACTACTAAATTAAAGGGTCCGCTACTAAATTAAAAATATAGTTTCTATAATTCACCATTATGAACAACATGAAGCAAATCCACATTATTTGGAAAGATATCAAAATGTATATATGTAGTGAAAACATTAGGTTATGCAATTTCCAATCAGCTTTACAGAATTTATCTCAAGTTTCCCTTAAAGAGAATAAATCAAAACAAAGCAGAAGTGTAATTCCACTAAAAAATAAACATGAACCCTCCTTCTCCCAAGGTTGTGGATTTTAAAGCCCAGGATAGTGGACTTTATCCTTCAAAGTCGTTTCTTCCAAAGGGTTGCAATATTCCTATCTACGACAATCTCAAATCAGATATATATATATAGGAAAATGGACAAGCTGTATATTAACAAAATACAGAACCATGTTGCAGTTTGCCTTTAAAAAATCTGTTCTAGTGATTTAAGGCAGGTATTGCAAAATCATTATGATTCTTAAATCGGGAGAAAAAATATCTACAAATCTCCTACCCACCTAGAAATTGTACCTACTGGAAATACATCCTTATGGAATAAGCTCAGGAACTGAGTTGTTTTACTAGAAAGTTAAAACAAGTTTGACTAAATTTGGACTCTTAATATTAAGTGGCTTTAAAGTTTACGTACTGGTTCTTGTTTCAGGCGCACCTGAATGTCACAGAAAGCAGTTTGTTCACACTACTTCGGGCTATTACCGGAAGACAACTAGTGCCCCAGCTTTTTTTAAAGAATCATTTTACATTTAACCCCAAAATATAGCTTGTATTTTAATGGAATATACAGGTGGATTTTCACTTGAACACTTAAGCCAAGCCTTAGGAGTTTGGGTACATTGGAAGATCCCAGTCTGGTTTCTGTGTTTAAAGAGGGGGAAAAGTTTACCCAGATCTTCTCCAATTAAGTTGTTGGTAATTCAAAGCAGGAACCTCATCTGAGAATTAGACAAGATTGAGTTAGATAAATTTCACCTCATACTAATATCTTAGTTAAAGATTAACATGGGTAATACAGTACCGAGGGAAAATTGAAAACTCCAAGACAGCAATTTTGAAATCAATTCCAGCTTTACTTTAAATTTGTATTTATGCAGTTGTGTGCACAAAGAATGCCTATTCTTGACTTTACTGCAGTGTTGGCTTTCCTCCTTAGCACTAAACAATTCAAGCTTCTATATATTGTTACCGAGCTTCCATAGAACATGTGCACAGACTTAAGGTTTCCCATCTAAAACTAAGCTAACCAAAATTGCTAAAGTCAGCAAACATGCATATGCATTTAAAAGAAACCTCAGATAATGTTTTTTAAAATCAAACTTTAGAACTAACCTTTTATAATTAAACTAAGTTGTTGCTCCTTTCCTTTCATATGTATACACCGGGCTAAAGACTTCCAACAATAGATCTCTACTTGGCACAAGGACATTTCAAAGAAACAAAAACAAAAGAAAAAAAATAAAGGGGGGGAAGGGGATATAAGGGGATTATATGGTAATGGGAAAAATACATTGAAGATTAAGTTTTAAAAAATAAAGAAAGGAAAAGAGGTTTACACTGACTGGAGTGCAAGCTTAGTCCACTTCCTCGATGGTGGGTCCCCCCGAGGCTCCGGACCCGCCGCCGCCGCCAGGGCCGCCTTGGTAAAGTTTGCTGATGATGGGGTTGCACACTCTTTCCAGCTCTTTCTGCTTGTGTTCAAACTCATCTTTCTCCGCCATCTGGTTTCGGTCGAGCCAGTTGATCACCTCCTGACACTTGTCGAGGATCTTGTTTTTGTCCTGTTCGCTAATCTTGCCCCGCAGCTTCTCGTCTTCCACCGTCTGCTTGATGTTGTAGGTGTAGGACTCCACGGCGTTTTTGGCAGCGACACGGTCGCGATTGGCTTCATCTTCCGATTTGTACCTCTCCGCTTCCTGGACCATCCGGTCAATGTCGTCCTTGCTCAGACGACCCTTGTCGTTGGTGATGGTGATTTTGTTTTCTTTGCCAGTGCTCTTGTCGGCGGCGGTGACGTTGAGGATGCCGTTGGCGTCGATGTCGAAGGTGACCTCAATCTGGGGGACCCCGCGAGGCGCCGGGGGAATCCCCGTCAGGTCGAACTTGCCCAGCAGGTTATTGTCCTTGGTCATGGCCCGTTCGCCCTCGTACACCTGGACCAGCACGCTGCTCTGGTTGTCTGAGTAGGTGGTGAAGGTCTGCGTCTGTTTGGTGGGGATCGTGGTGTTCCTCTTGATGAGTGGGGTCATAACGCCGCCAGCCGTCTCGATGCCCAGCGACAACGGGGTCACGTCTAGTAGCAGCAGGTCCTGCACGTTCTCTGACTTGTCTCCGATCAGGATGGCCGCCTGCACCGCTGCTCCGTAGGCCACCGCCTCATCGGGGTTGATGCTTTTGTTGAGCTCTTTGCCGTTGAAGAAATCCTGCAGCAGCTTCTGGATCTTGGGGATGCGGGTAGAGCCACCAACCAGCACGATCTCCTGGATCTGGCCCTTGTCCAGCTTGGCGTCGCGCAGCGCCTTCTCCACCGGCTCCAGGGTCCCGCGGAACAGGTCGGCGTTGAGCTCCTCAAAGCGAGCGCGGGTGATTGATGTGTAGAAGTCCACACCTTCGTAGAGCGAGTCGATCTCGATGCTAGCCTGTGTGGAGGAGCTCAGGGTGCGCTTGGCGCGCTCGCAGGCGGTGCGAAGCCGCCGCACCGCGCGCTTGTTGGGCGCGATGTCCTTCTTGTGCTTGCGCTTGAACTCCTCGGCCAGGTGGCTCACCATACGGTTATCAAAGTCCTCGCCGCCCAGGTGAGTGTCGCCGGCAGTGGACTTCACCTCGAAGATGCCATCCTCAATGGTCAGGATAGACACGTCGAAGGTGCCGCCGCCCAGGTCAAAGATGAGCACGTTCTTCTCGCCGCCGGCGCTGCCCTTCTTGTCCAGGCCATAGGCTATGGCCGCCGCCGTGGGCTCGTTGATGATGCGGAGCACGTTGAGGCCCGTGATGGTGCCCGCGTCCTTCGTGGCCTGGCGCTGCGAGTCGTTGAAATAGGCCGGGACAGTGATGACTGCGCTCTGCACCTTGCCCCCCAGGTAGGCTTCGGCGATCTCCTTCATCTTAGTGAGGACCATGGAGGAGATCTCCTCTGGGAAGAAGGTCTTGATCTCTCCCTTGTACTCCACCTGCACTTTGGGCTTCCCTCCCTCGCTCACCACTCGGAACGGCCAGTGTTTCATGTCCGACTGCACAGTAGCGTCCTCGAACTTCCGTCCGATCAGCCTCTTGGCGTCGAAGATGGTGTTGGTGGGGTTCATAGCCACCTGGTTCTTGGCGGCATCGCCAATGAGGCGCTCGGTGTCGGTGAAGGCCACGTAGCTGGGGGTGGTGCGGTTGCCCTGGTCGTTGGCGATAATCTCCACTTTGCCATGTTGGAAGACCCCTACGCACGAGTAAGTGGTGCCCAGGTCGATGCCAATAGCCGGGCCGCGGGCAGACATCCTGACCGACAGATAGGCAAGCGACGTTAGGCAAGAACACCAGGGACAGAAAATCCACGGAGTCAACCAACGGCTGCCCTGCACCTGATACCACGAGCGCAAACTGTGTCTCCCGCTCCCCTGGCCTTGGCTCCTCGCTCTTATAGCCACCTCCCTGCCGACTTGTGGAAACTCCCAGAGCCAATCGGCTCTCAGGACCGCCCGCCAAGGCTTGCTTATTGTCAGAGTGACCCGCCCGCGGCCCAATAGACTTTTAAGTGGAGTGCGGGGCGGGACCTCGGCCCGCGCGAGGCTGCGACGGGCAGCCGTTATGTAAATATCCCCGCCCACGTCTCCGAGCGGCGGGGTCCGCCCCGCCACAGTAGACGCCTGCAGCTTGGGGGCGTTAGGCTCGTGCACCCCCCAGGTGTACGCGCTTTTTGATCTTCGCCTTCCGTGAGGTTAGATTCGCCGACATTCATTGGATTGGCAGGGCACGTGGCCAATGAGCAGCGCGGCCTCCCTAGTGGGTGGAGAAGGAAAAGCTAGGGCCAGGGCGTGGTGTGGGCGGAGGCACTGCTCGGAAAAGGAGCCGGGAAAAGGGATTGCCTTTTCAGTCCCTAGGCCTTACGTGTGCAGGACAGTGCAGAGGGTACCTACTAACCCAGCACGCGGGGGCAGGCCAATTCACTGAGTTGGTTGCACCGAGGAAATAGGTCTAGGACCCGCTTTTTTAATTTTGGCATAATAGGCGTGAGGGCGGCTCCTCTCAGGCCTCGAACCAAAATAAAATGACACTTAAGTTCCAGGATCCGGCTGTCAGCCTTACGGAATTTTACTTTGCGCACTTGGAAGCGTCTCACTGGGTGTGAGCGCTCGATTTAAACTGCCTGGCGGGCGGGCGGTGGGGGGAAGAGGGCGGGGAACGGAGCCGAGCTGGGAGGTGGGGGGACGCCCGGAGAGGCCGACTTTTTTTCGGCGCTGCTCGCGGGAAGCTTGCGCAATGGGAGCCTGGGGAGTGGCTGCAACTGGTCGTCCCAGCGTTTAAATTTTCCGTAGCTCACTCTCCATTTTTCATGTTTGTCTTACCACTTGATGCTTTCTGATTTCGTCTCCCTGTTCTCTCCACTGTTTTCCTTATTTTGGGTTTCAAGGGCTTTAATCACCGCTTTGAGTTATTCACAGGAAAATCTATAATCAAACCCTCCTGTTGAAGCACCAGTCTCCCTCCCAGCCCGGTTCTCTCATCCCCAGCGTGCGCACACGCGACCTTGTTTGTGACCCGAGTGATGTTTATGACAGCGCAACAGAATGAGATTATTTTCTCTAGCTTTGCTGAAGCTTCATTAGAGGCATAGACTCTCAGAGAAGGTAGGTGAAAAAGAGAACAATTCATTTCTTAAGAGGAATATGAGAATAGGTTTGGAATTACCGTTTGGCACCAGGTAATGAGGTTAGCAGCAGACTCCCATAAATGGGCTCCTGAAGGAAAACTGTTACAAAATCGGTGGGCTAATATTTCACATTGGGGCGGGAGCAGGGCGGGGGGCGGTGTTAAGAAATTAAAGAGGAAAAAAAAAGCTGTAGACGTTAATTACTGAGCTGTACCCGCTCGGTAAACTTGGGCGGGTACCTACTATGTGAGAGTAGGAAAATAAATGAAATAGTCTTTCTTTATGAGGTCGAGAGTCTAAAAGAGGTAAACATAATTCGAGAGAAGCGCTATGGGAACACAAGGAGGCGACACATCCAGACAGAGAAAAGTGTGCTGGTGAGGGCTTCCTGGAAGAGGTGACATGCCTGAGCCAGGCGCTGAAGTTGCCGGCAAAGAGGAGAGGAGAGCATTCTTTGTGTGCGTTGTTGTAGCTTGGGCTAAGAGGAGAGCAGCGTCCTGGGGCAACTACAGAGTCTGTACAGGTTAATGTCAGTACGAGGGCAGGAGTACAAACAAGAAATAGAGCCTTCAGATCGACAGGATACATTTCAGAGCTTTATGCGCCATGATTTTCCCCCCTTGGGGCTATGGGAGAGAACCATCCTTTGAAAGAAGGTAGTAATGGATAGTCCCTGTCAAATTTGTGTAAGACAGTGCACTGGGCAAAGTTTTTGTCTGAGAAACACGTAAGTAATGCAACCAAGAAGTAGTGTTGCTAGAACCCTGTAAAGTCTGTCATGAATACTTTTATCTAGTTGGGTATATAATTTCCAACCTTTAAAAACACATATGCTATTACTTTGTTAATCTTATTAGTTAAATAGTACTGGTTTTAACCACAATTCCCATGTCCTATTCCATGAAAGAAATTAAAGAAAAAAATTGAACTAGGAAACCTTTTAAAGATTGGGAAAACAGATAAAACCAGATTGACACTGCCTAAAATTGTGAATACATAGGTCTTAATTTTATTCTAGCAAATTGATGTCTTTTATGTAGTTTTTAAAAAAGGCAGGGGGAGGGGGGAATTAGAGGGCTGGAGAGCGACCCAAATTCTTTATAGAACTGATATAATACCCTGTGACTTAGATAAAGGGTCCCCGCAACAACTGAAAGCAAACCTGTAAGAAACGGAGTCTTCAGATCTCTTCTGTTAAGACAGCCCTTACACATTTACCTCGAGCAAACCAAGATTGCAAAAACCAAACATGCCAGTTCTTATAAACAAGCACTAAAATTGGAGCTTCAGAAGGGAGAGGTTCTTAGTAACTTATGTATTGTCTCTATGTACAGTTATTCAGTTTTTACAAACTTCTCCTGTAATCTAACCGCCACATTAATCTTTAACACAGCTTTGAAACCACAGTAGCAATTTATCTGCATTTTTATTATATATATACATATATAATTCTTTCCGCTCTAACTTTTCACCTAGTAAATCGATGTTTCATACTTCAGATGGCATCCTGAGCTCCCCCCCCAAAACACCATATTTTAACTTTGGTGTCATATGAAATAAAATTTTGCAGTCCTAGGACATCATCATACACTGAGCATTCTTGGAATTTTCACATTGTTCTTTATCTATATTGATTTTTTAATCTTATTTTTTGATGACTGTGGCTCAGAGTTAATACAAAATATAGCCCATTAAATGATCAAATTAGCAAATTTATAGTCAAATAATATTTATCAATGCCAGCAATGGTGCAGCAAAACAGGTGGAAATGTAAATTAGTACAATCTTTCTGGAAGATAATGTGACAATATTTTTCTTTACCTTAAATATGTCCATACCCTTCATTTAGCATTACCCTGTGGGATTCATCCCAAGGAAACACTAGAGCATGCAGGTAGTATTATTTGTGATAATAGCAACATGAAAAAGGCAAGGATATACCTGACAATAAGGAAATGATTACATCAACTATAGTACATCCATATGATGAATTATTATGTAGCCATAAAAATTGTTTATAAGAATTTTACTGACACAGAAAAATGTTATTGATATAATTAATTGGAAAATAAGATACAAGACTTTCATAATTTCATACTCTATATGTAGGATAATCTTATGTATATGAGAAATACATCAAAATTGGTTATCTGTAGATGGATTAACAGTATTTTTTCTAAATGACCATATATATATATATATAATTTTACAATTGATTTTTAAAACTTGACCATTAATATTCACTTGAAACAAGGTTCACCAATCCTACTACTTACATAGAAATTACTGTTGATTTTCAACATAAGAAAATCTGTTTGGCAGATTAAATACTAGGTGCTTCCAAATATTTTTAAAGACTGAGGTCCCACACAGTGTGGAAAAAGCAAGAGCTTTAACGTATGTCAAACCCTCTCTAATTAATCCCTAACACCCAGAAGAGTACCTGGAACTCAGTAGTGATTCACTAGCTCCATGTTTATTAAAAGTAACCCGAGGCACATTATTTAACCAAAAATACTGAATAACTTAATTTTTTCCTATATAAGAGTAAGATTTTTTGCCTATCTTTTTGTTTAATTTAATTTATTTATCTTTAGAGGGGAAGGGAAGGAGAGAAGGAGAGAAATATCAATGTATGGTTGCCTCTTGTGTGTCCCCTGCTGGTAACTGGCCTGCAACCCAGGCATGTGCCCTGACTGGGAATTGAACCACAATCCTCTGATTCTCAGGCCCGCGCTCAATCCACTGAGCTACACCAGCCAAGGCTAGCCTATCTCTTATATTTCTGTACTAAGATAGCAGATATCAAAAATTGAAACAAATTCACATCTGAAAATACTCGTACTAGAGATACTCTGATGAATAAAATGAGGTCTAACACTGTATGCATGGATAGTCAAGCCTACCCTAAGGAGACTGAAGAAGAATAATTTTTTCCCCAAATTACTAGGGAAAAAATTATGTATTTTCTGGAATCCTGTCAATCCCTACCTAGGCGCAGCCTTTATAAACTTTCACGGATTGTTTTGAGGAGGTATTATTGGCTGGAAAAGAAGGTGGAGTAAGTAGCAGCCTATAATTTGAGGACCTATGAGCAAACTGAAGTCAAACTAGTTATTATATTTAAGACTTCTGTAAATACTGCCATTTTATAATTGTTTGGAAGTACCCTGTCCCAAAATATTTATCCAATCACCCATCCATATAGGAAAAATGTCATCATTTCCTTCTTTGAGCCTTGGAAAACTGCCTTTAAAATTTACAATTAAACTACAGATACACAGTACCCTGGGGGACTGTACCTTGCCTTGCCTGGAAGGTTCTCAGAACCTAAACCTGGAAGAGAGGCTTTTCCAGAATAAAAGTAAATTTGTGACCACAGCAGACAAATTGTACCTACTCAGTTTTAGAGTGCTAACTGGGAGGATACAGTCCTATGGAATAGTCTAAAATAATCCGAAAGTAGTAAGGCCATTGTTTTGCATACAGAAGAGTCAGACTCGATATGCCATTATTGTTAACACTTATTAAGTGAAATTAAATCAAGTGAAATTATGACAATCATGTTTGGAACCAATCTGAAATGAAGAGAATACTCATTGCCAATCACTTAAAACAAAAATTACTAGGTTCTTTAACTGAAAATAAAATGAACTATACTGATTAGGAAGTTATTTCTATGAGTAAATTGTTATTTTGAGAAATGAACCAACCAACCCTTTGAAAGAGCTAAATACTGTGTCAGTGGATTTTTATAAATAGTTTCTTTTTATATTATAAAGAAACCAAATTAATTTGTTGCCATCTGTGTTTGCCATGAAATAATAGTTTTCCAGTAATTGTAAATTAAAAGAAAACAGAATTTGGCAATAGTAATTTCAATTAATTCTCTTTGTGTATTTCTCAAGCTGCTCAGGATACAGCTTATAATTAGCCGTATCAGATACTTTATTATTTTGGTATCAGAGAATGGAAGGAGTTGATAACTTTTCAGACATAATTTTTTTAAAGACCCAGGTTGAAAAATAAAGTATAAATAAAAGTAATATACAGACAGTTTAACTTCTGAATATAGAGGAGGAAATTTTATTAGGTAAAAGCAATGGATTAAAAATGTAACAAAAGTTCTCTATGTGACCTAATAAACTCCATTTTATATTAATGTACAGAAAACAATCACATTATAGAAGGCATTTATATCACTTATTCTTCATTACATTTGTATTTTAGTACAGTCAAAATTTAATCTCTTTTGTGAATCTAATTCCACCAGTTAAAATTATTGAGTCTTTACTATATTGATCTGGCACCTTTAATTATTGATAATATTCTTATATGTTTCTTATTTGCTACAAATTTGCATTTCTTTAGGTTTCCTCATGCTCCCAAGAGACTAATTTTAATTTTGATGAACACTTTAGTTTTCTAAACTTGGTTTATTCTAAAGCAGTTGAATTCATATGAATTTGAGATCTCTAGTGGATTTCTCTTTTCCTTCTCACCCACTATCATTGTAATTAACTTTCTCTGATTAAAAAATATATATTTTTAGAGGAGAAGGGAGGGCGAGGAGAGAAACATGTATGTGCAAGAGAAACATCGACCCATTGCCTCTTGCACACCCTCAACAGGGGACCTGGCCTGCAACCCAGGCATGTGCCCTGACAGGGAATCAAACCAGTGACCTTTCAGTATGCAGGATAATGCCCAACCCACAGAGCCACACCAGTCAGGACAATTTTCTCTAACTTTTGTTAATCAAATTGTTAGAAAGGATATTTAAGTTATTCTATTTTATAGCTAGAGATTTTAAACTACTCAATTTCTGCATATGCTATTATGTATAGTCTAAGAGCTCTTTGTGCAACATAGTAAAATATTTGAATAGGCATAAAAACATAATACACAATTCTGAAAATATGACATCTTGATATTGCACAATAAACAAAAATAAAATAATAATAATGAATTGGGTACACAGTTAATCAAAAGTAAAACTACAAGTATACTCACAATATGAAAATAATATGGCTACAAGAATTCATATAGTTAAGAAATGTTATGAGCATATATCAAGTTATTTGTAGCCAGGTTAAATTTTCACCAAACATTTCATTCCCCCATGAAAGGGCTTTAAGAATATGTTAACCATTGTTTTATTCAATACTTAGTAGAATTTTATCTTGAAATTTGAAAACTGAGAAACATTAATCCTGAGAATAAATGGTTAACAGAAACCTATTCTGTTCTATTAGGTTATATTACCAAGTTCAAAAGAAAATAATGTGTCTTAAAATAGACTCTTTGGTTGTTTGTGATTTGTGAAGATCAACTACTACTGACAAAGTAATACTGCTTGTTTTTCCTTCACATCACCAGACTTAAACGGGAACTTCATTAACAGTAATAATCAAGTTTGTAACATATATAAAGAAGAGCAAATGTTACATTACAGTGAGAAATGACTAGATTATCTTGTTAAAATATTGGTCTTTTTGTCTGTGTACCCATTTTTTTATTTATGCTCTATACAGATTTTATTGTATAACTTCTTAAATTGTCTAAATGCATGTCATTATATATAAACTCTGACTCAGATTAAGTTTAAAATTGTTTACACATTTGTGTGATTATCTCTATTTATAGTAGCCTAGCAAGCCTTTTAGAAGGGACTCTTAAAGATAATTAGCATATAGTTTCATTTTAGTGTAGCTTTTCCCACTGATGTCTTATGAATATTCTACTTTTCTTTAGCAGATTTTCCACAAATACTAGGAGAGTCACCATGAATCAATTTTGTCACAACAAATTGATTTCAAAGTGATGTTTACTGAATTTTCTTGGATGCTTGCAACTGGAACTTTTGGGTCTGATGAGGTTTGTCAGGAAGACAGAAAAGATGGTGTCACTTCAGATCTGATATTCCTGGGTCTGGACTTAAAGATTATCTGTTGAAGATTGATTCTTCCCCAGGTCCTCTCCAAATTCAGATCTCACTTCTCCAGAGGTTTAGAAGGCCCTATTTCACCACTGCCACACAGAAAAAGACAAAACTCAAGAAAAATAATATTACAAATGAACTGCCCTACGAGATACAACATAAGTCTTAGGTCAGAATTTCATGGCTTTTGGCATCAGGCCAGCACACTATTAATAGAACAAGAATGGAAACAGAAGATAGTTCATAGAACTTCAACATATTTACTTTCTTCCCCAGTGTAACTCATTACATCCTTTAAATATAAGGTGTTCTTATTATTCAAATAATTCTTCAACTATAGGGGCACTTCTCCCCCCCCCCCTTGCATGATCTAAGCTAGAATGGGTAGGATATATAAATATGTAACATAAAAAAAATAGGTCAGGCAGACAACAGTAGAGAGAAACACTTAAGTGTTTTCATTTGAAGAAAACAATTTTACAATGTACTTTATTGATGGCATATCTGATTCAAAGATGTTATATATCCAACAAATTTAAGTCAAACACCAAGTGGTTTCCTTCAAATAGTAACTACTGTATACACTCTGCAAATGAAAATAAAGTACACACACAGAGTATTCCTTCAAATTCCTAAATTCATGCTCTCCTAACCTGCCCCTGTGATTCTGGGTAGAATTTTTTTGGCAGCAACTTTGCCCTAATTTTTAAAAAAAGAGATTGTCTCTTAAAATACTTGCCGCCACCCCCCCCACCCCTACAATCAGGGAACACATAAGCATTTGAAAGAAGAGATAACTTCCATAATCTGTATGCTTAGAATTATTCCTTTCATCTAAAAATAAGCTCTGCTGGTTCTAATTGGTATAAGCAATTGCTTCAAGTAGACTAAAAACCGACATAGTAACTTTTAAAAGTTTAACTAGGGAATTCATAGGCTTTCTAGGTAACTCTATTCCTTTCTCAAATAGGTTAGGACAGAGGATAAAATAAATTTTCTCATATAAAACTAATATTCCTGACTCAAATAAAATCATGTCCTTTGCTTTTTGGGGGTCATCCTTTGATCCTAGTTTCCTGTAACGTCTTATTATCATGGCAATTAGTACACTGATACATTAAATTCAGAGCCAAGTGCTGAGTTACAATCTTCATAACCATCTTCGTTTGTCAGCACGATAATGAGAAATTATAATGGTGTCCTGCCCCCTAGTGATCTATGGTGGATTTTGATAGAAAGGTTGAACAGTTATCATTAATGAATCTCACTGATTTGGTTCTCCTGAATGTAATAAAGGACAACTTAAATAGGATTTAAACTTCCTAATACTAAAGTCAAGTAAGCATGTACATATGAATATGTAGGTGCTATTAAATTGGCTTAAAATTGGCATGAATTTACAAGCTACTATTGTCATTTATATTTACCAACTTTCTAAATCTTTTCATTTACCTCTTGCCAGCATAATTTTTCAAGTAGCTAAATTTCATCTGGCTTTAGTATGAGACTCCCCATGTACCAAGTAATATGTCCTTGAGTTTGATAGGCCATGAAAAGGGGCCACCTAAATGATTATATAGACATTACCAATTCTTCTAAATTAATAAAATTTGGCAGATGACAGAGATCATTAAAATAGATTTAACATATTAGTAAAACCTATTGTATAGGCTGTAAAAATCAGACAATAGATGCATGAAGTTCAAGTTAGATTCAGCTGGAAGCCTTCACTTAAACCATTAAATGTTTATTTGTTTAGTTTCCTGGTAGGTGAGGGGGGTATCCAGCTGTTGTATATGGAAATCATCTTTCATTTCTTTTACAAGTAAGAGTTTTTGAAGATTTTCTTTTTAAAAGATTTTATTTACTTTTAGAGGGGAAAAGAGAAGGAGAGAAACATCCACGTGTGAGACATCTACGTGTTGTCTCTCCATCACCCCGGACTGTGGACCTGCCCCACAACCCAGGTCGAACTGGCAACCTTTCAGTTGGGGGACAACACCCAACCCACTGAGCCACACCAGTCAGGGCAGGACTAAGAGTTTTTAAGTTTACACTAGAAAGCCATAGGTTGTTGTTTTTGTAAATTCAATTACAAATGGCTCAAAAAATGAACTTCCATTTTTAGACAAATTTTGATTGCTCTATAAACTTTAATCAAATCAATCACAATATGGTAATTAGGGATTTCATTTTTTTTTTTTTACAAAGAAATGAAGAATTTCTTATCCACCTTATCTGTGAAGGCAAAAAGAGGAAACTGGTTATCCTAAGGTTCTGATTTTTCTTGGGAATACTTTCAAATGATTTGAGTTAATCATCAGTCTGAAAACCAATAAAAGGAAATGAGGACTGGTGGGAGAGAGGAAAACATAAAGGTCAGGAATAAGGAAGAGAGGGAGAGGCATTCGCAGATGTGGAAATATTTAAGTTGAATTCAAATTAATTTGTAATTGAGAAACTACCATGGACCCCCAAATTGCTGACAATATTATTAAATGTTTTAAGTTTAAATAAAGCAAAATGAAAATACGTAGTAGTCTTTATTTCCAAAACATCATTTTGAATGACCCATTCAAATAAACAGTTTTGTTTTTGACTGATATATTTTCCCCACTATTACCAGCTACCTTATCAGGCACCGCAGATGACAGGTGATGAACAAGAAGCACAGTCTCCTAGAAGCTTTACCACGTGTTCCTAGGCTGAAAAGGCCCTTCTTTTATTTCTTGGTAGGTGGAGTATGTAGCTAAGTGGTTAAATACAAGATTGTAGAAATCAGATAGGTCTAGGTTCAAATTCCAATTCTAGTATTAAGTTTCTGTGTGGTTTCAGGAAAAAACAGTCTCTCTGAACCTCAGTCCCCATCTGGAAAATTAGAGTGATACTTACCTTGTAAGGCTGAGGATTAATTAAAATTACATACATAAATCATATAGCAGAGTACAAAGAGTGCGCTAACTAATGGATGCAAGGATTGCTAGTCAGAGTCCTAGGATGGATGGATCATGGGTTTCCAAATCCGGTCTGCAGCTTCAACTACTAATACCAAATATAACTATTTGCTTCAGCTCTCTGGCATTCATTCTGTCACCCCTCCATTTAATGCACCTCAGATATTAAGGACATGGGAGACATTCATTAGCATATGTTCCCACAGAGATTTTCAGGACCCTGGAATCCTAGGCCTTGGTTAATGCTAGGGATGCCTGCAGAGCAATAGCATTTACCACTGCAAAGCACCTGTTACACAGGAGGTGGGGGTGGTGAGGAAAGATGAGGATCTGATCAAAGTAAATTAATGGGAAAAAAATTTTAACTCATAAAACTAATTTTAAATTAATAAAAAAGACCAGATTTCTTTATTCTGAACTATGTGTGCACATACAGATTGGAGTTATTCTTCTGGTTGGTACTGATTAAGCTTTTAACAACAATCACAAGTTTTGTTCAATATAACTATTATACTGGTTCTTTGGGGGGTTTTCTGTAGATCTGTTAAATATGGAAGTCCCTTAACAAGTGATTCAGGGAAACAAGTATTGTTTTAACTGAGGAAAAGGTTGCCAACCACCACCAGCCTCTCTTCCCACTTTTTTAGAATCTAAAAGTTGGTATGTCAAATATTTGGGCATAGCCTTAATATGTTCATAGTAATTGTTTCATTAGGCATTCTATAGCTCTGAATTACTTTAGTCAAAGTATTTTAACTTATCAAATTACTTCAATCTTATCTCAGAAAATTTTGGGTTTTTCAGCTTTTATATCTTGTTCATATTTTTGCTCTCAACTATGTTACTTAAATGATTTTTCAGGTCTATTAATTTCCTTTTATATTGGTACTCTGAGTGTCCTAGCAAACTCATTTTAATTCTTTTATTTTTATAAGTAGCCCCTGTAATCCTCCTTCTAATTTTTGTCTGAACTCAAACTTTACACATTAAACATTAAACCATGTACCATTTTACTCATGTGATAAGGCACTTCTCTAAATATATATATGAAAGAGACTGAGTCCTTGTCTACGTTACTTGATTGTCCTTTATTAACCTCTGAGATTCTTAGTCCTATTTACTAAAGAATTATAAACATGAGTTGCACTGTAATTCATGGCAAGCTTGTGAGGCACTGACTCCACTTCCTCTAGAATTTCTCGCTAGAGAACAGAAGTCCTTTTAAGCAAGACTGTTTTAAGACAGAAAGAGGAACAAGACTGACATGTATCTATCTAGATTTTCCTTTCATTTTTAAATTTGGAGACTGATCGTTCAAATTATAAAGGCAGGAGGAGAACACAAGCTTCCATAACTTTGATTCACTGTCTTCACAGCACGGGAAGGCACCAAGCAATACAATAGCAAGCTATAAAGCTGTAACTAGCCCAGGAGAGGAAAGAATAAATGAAGAAGCTAGGCTGGGCAGAAGTGTTGGATATTTTTCATTCTTCCTGGTTTTAAAAGGCAAGTAGCCTTTAAATGAACTCTGTCTTAACTTGGAAAACTGCACATTATGTTTAAAGAAGCCGATGCTGGTCTGTAGCTAGTTCCAGAACAAAAGGTGTGTGTGTGTCCTGTGTAACATGAGACTGGGAGAAAACAAGATCACTGAGGTGTGGCTTTGTGAAACTAAACATCTCAGTTATGTAAAATTAGAGATTATGTTTATTTATATATTTGCTTGCGAATGGCTGGCTATTAGTACATGTCAAAACACTAAATTAAGTCCCCTTTCCTAATGGAATAGACACAATCCACTAGGACATGGATTGGTAGTGGTGACAGTATTTAGAAAAGAACCCTGTTTTTAATGGTAGGAAAGCCACTGCAATACATTTTGATGAGAGTCATGTAAAACAGTAGCCCCAAAGAAAACTGTTTACTATTACTAGGATACTATGTATTTTGGAAACTTGGTTTATCTTATCTCTCTGATGGTCTTTGGGTTTGTCACAGAACTTCTATCAGGTTCCTATCAGTAATGTATATAGCATATTTCAGATTTAATTACTTGCTAAACTACTGTAGCTAAGACTAACATGAATCACTTTTTCTGCTGTGTGGCTTTTTTAAAAAAAATCGTTTTGTGTGTGTGTATTTCCCCCATCTCTACTTCCCATTATTTTAATACTGCACAGCTCCTGTACTATTCCTGTTCTTAACACCTCAAAAATCTCCCCACAAATCTCTGAGCTCACACTGTGCTCTAATATGTCTTTGTCAACTAAACCTGTGCTAGTCAGTAGATCTCCCAATTCTCTTGGCGACTTGTTCTTTTACTCAAGTTATGTACAAAAAATATAACTTGCATATCTTAAAAATCTGATGTAAAAAAGAGCAATGCTGTTCATAATCACAAAATTATACTTTTCAATATAGGAGTTATTTAAAATCTCTTTCCTTATGAGAATGGTGTTACAATGCAAGTAATTCACATTGAAAGGCATTCTATTCAATAGTTGTGTTTATTGGCGGGTCAGTTTGCCAGTGTTTTGATTCACATGTAATTCATGTAGACCTGTGTCAGCAACAACTAACAGCAATACTACTTTAACTAAAAAATGATAAACTATTTCCATTTATATGCTCTGTGATTATATTATAGTCCTCAAATTTTGTAGTCCTTTACAGAAAAAATAAAGCATGGTGATAAACTCCAATTTGCCACAACACATTTTCTTCCAATCTTAAATAGTATAAAACACAAGACATTTTTTGAAACACTCTACTTTTATAGAACAACCAGATTTGTAATTGGTTTCTTTATTTTATTAGCTTTATCAATATACATGGCAGCTTTCTCAAATCTCAAAGTTCCAAAAGTATGTAATTTTAAAGGTAAAAAATCATTTTCCTTTAGATGTCATATCCCTAGAGAACTATTAAAATCTATTTATATAAACAAAAATAATTGATAAACTAACACACTTTAGAAATCAAAATATTTTAAATTATTTTAAATGAATACAAGATGTCTTTTTAATTAACTATCATAGTTAAATTTAATATCACAAAACAAAACGACTTGTCCCCATGAATTTCTCAAATGGGGTAAAGTCATTGGGTTTTACACTTAATATAAGTTTTAAATGTGATTATTAAATGATAATACTTTATCAATTATAGGAAAATACTCATTTATAGGAATTTCCTTAAGTCCATCCATCTTTTTAGGCCAAGTTTGAGCCCATGTCAACTTTCAAGGTTAGATTCAGTGCACCTAACCTACCTAATAAGAATATGAATTTCACTGATAAGGAGGAATAAACAGTGGCTAAATCACTCTTTAACTTGCCAAAAGGAAAGAAAAAAAGCTAAAAGTGAATGGGATTGCTTCAAGTAACTAATAAGTTTAAAAAATTTTTTTAAATTTAAACAGAAACGGCCAATAATGTTGGGTCTAAAATTTCACAAAATAACCTTGAAAAAAATAGAAATAGTGAAGTCATCACCTTATTGATACGAAACTAAAGTTTAATAGTCATTAAAGGGGTAACAACCACTTGTAGTCTACATTTAATAGTAATTTTAATCATAGCTAAAACAAACTAAAAACAAAGAATTCTATTAAGAAAAAACAAAAGTGATAAACATTTAATAATGCCTAAAATATAGATACTTAAGATCCTAGACAAAAATATTTAAAGTAAAAGGGTCTTGAATTTTTCCAACAATTCATCTTAGAAAATCAATTTCTAAATAGCTCATATCCTTTGCTTTGGTGTTTTGCCTGCTATCAACTAAACATTAGTACAGTAGAAAATGACTTATGTTCTTTTCAAATGCTTGGCATTATAATGTGATCTCATATCTTTCCTCAAATTAAATTTTGCTCCACATATTCCACATGTATACAGATGAACATCCATGTGCTGTTCCAACTGTTCATTATTTGGGAATATCTGAAAGCACACCTGGCATATAGTCTCACCAGCAGATAAATGAGAAATCATATGCCGTACATGGTCATGTTTTCTGAAGTTTCCTTGATCACAAATGGAACAGACATACCTGGCCATGCCTTTGTGCATATCATTGTGCAGTCGCAATTGACGTTCCCTTAAAAACTGCTTTCCACATGTCTGGCACACAAACTGTTTTTCCTTCGTATGAACAGTATAGTGTTCTCTTAGGTGACACCGCTGATAAAATCCTTTTCCACAGAGATTACAAAAATGCTTTCGTCTGTGATCTCTTTCATTTTCTTCCATGATGGCACTCTTAAACATATCTTGGTCTAGGCAGCTAGACATATGTTCAACCACTAGATTTTCAGTTTCAAAACGCTGGCCACAATTAGGACATCGAAAAGGACAGGCAGAATGTTTAAATAACTGCTTTTTTTGGATACTGTTAATCTGGAAATGATTGTCCCTAAAATCATCCAACATTTCAACAAACATATCTCTTATTTCAGACTGCTCATCAGGATTCTCTTCCATGTCCATCTTCTCCTCAGTATTTCCTAACCCATTCATCGTCAGATCTTGGGGTTCCCCACATCTCTGAGCATGTTCCTGAAGTTGTCGACCCTTCACAAGTATTTGTCCACATTTGCCACATGCACAGATATTTTCAATGTGTTTGGCTAAGTAATGAGATGACAGGTCCTCCTCAGTTATTGTGAGTCCACACAGCTCACAAGATGCATTTTCAGTATCTTCTTGAACCGGACTACTGTTGTCAGGAGGCCTCATATTTTCTAAACCACCTCTTTCATCAGCATTTATTGACATCCGAGGTTTTAGAGTTTTCCTACCACTTTTTTTAATGCTCACATCTTCTTCAACATAATATCTATAAAATGGTTCTTCAGGTTCATCTTCTAATTCATCATTGTCAGTGGATTCATTACAATCTTTATCAGTAACTTTAATAATGTTAAAGTCTTTCAGTTCATCTGTAGGAATGTCTTCTGGCTCCATCTTGATAATGATTCTTTTCCTCTCAGCAGCTCTGCTTTTTTCTTCACTGGCTAGTTCAGACTCCACTGTGCTACTCTTTCTGCTCCCAGTGGTCGAAGTCGAATCATCAGCAGCCTGGCTTGTGTCTCCTCTGTATTTTTCCGTCTGTGCAGGAAATGTCTTAGAAGAATCCTTTTCACCAAATTCAGCCTTGATACCACCATCTTTTCCGTCTCGAACATCTACTATTCTGTGGTAGGATCTCGTGTTTTGGTATGAGTGCCTGTTAGTACAGGTTAGCACATGCTCATCTAATAATTTCTCACAGCTAAAGCCAAATCCACAACTATCACAGGTAAAACTTCGTCCAAAGCGTCGTGATACACGTTCTTTTGGAGTAGATAATTTGGACACAGAGCTTTTTTTACATACATCAAATAGTGGTTCAGGAAAATTACCCAGTTGTAAAGACTCTTCATCAGGCTCTCTGTTATGTGGTGTATTTACTGTTGAACTTGGCTCTGCACACCACCTATTGGATTCACTGCCATTTCTAGCCACAGTATCTTCATACATTCTTACCCCAAATATCATTTTGCTGTTCTGTTTGCTAGATGCAGAAGATGAACATTTTGAACTAGAACAATCTGCGTCCTGTATGTCTTCTAAGCAGTCCGGAACATTGTATAGCTGTAGGTAGTTCATTGCCACTTTAAATTGCTCAAAACTGGAGGGAGCTGTCATAATTTTCCCTAAATACATAAACTGCAAAATGAGATCAAAACATTCAGCACTAATTTTCATGTTGCTGAGATTCAGTTGTGCAGTACTATGCTGATGGTTCATGAAAAACATTCTGAAATAGGAGCTACAAGCAGCTAGCACGGCTTTGTGCGCTTGAAAGTAAATGTCATCAATTGCAATACAACAGTCACAGAGAAAGCCCCATTCCCTTTGGTTGTTTAGCTGCTGAAGGACGTAGCTGCTGTGGCTGGGCTTTGCCATCTTCTATTGATTAGAGACCTATGTAAAACAAAAATATTACAGTCAGACAAGATATCAAAAAAGCACTTCAACAAAACAAAAATTTTGATCATGATTTGTGACTTTGCTATTGCAATAGTCTTCTACTACAGTGTAGAAAAAGTCAATAATATACACCTGAATCATTTTTTAAATTTGAAGATACCCAGCCATTTACTCAAACTACTCTTTTTTTAAAAAATATTTTACTTATTTATTTTCAGAGAGAGGGGAAGGGAAGGAGAAAGTGTGGAAGAGAAACATAATTGTGTGGTTGCCTCTCGTGTGTCCCCCACTGGGAACTGGCCCACAACCCAGGCATGTGCCCTGACTGGGAGTCGAACTGTGATCCTTTGCTTCACAGGCCCGCGCTCAATCCACTGAGCTACACCAGCCAGGGCTCAAACTACTCATTCTGATTTTAAGAAATACAAGCAAAGGCATCACAAGCAAAAAAAAAAAATCATCGTTTTGGTTCTATTACAACTCTATGTGGAAAAATGTATATTAAATTTGAAAGGAAAAAAGATGCAAGCTTAAAAGTACTTAAAGTATATAAACAATGAAAGTAAATAAGGTAGCAACTTAAGTTGAATATTAAAAACCTCTTAGATGATAGATAAAAAGAATTATTGCTCACTTTTATTTTTTAATTTTTGGCTTTTTAAAAAGATTTTATTCACTTATATTTAGAGAGAGGGGAAGAAAAAAGAGGGAGAGACACATCAATGTGTGGTTGCCTCTTGCATGTCCCCTACTGGGGACCCGGCCCACAACCCAGGTAAGTGCCCTGACTGGGAATTGAACCGGCAACCCTTTGGTTGGCAGCCCATGGTCAGTCCACTGAGCTACACCAGCCAGGGTTATTTTTATTTATTTTAGGCAGAGGGGAAGGAAGAAAGGGACATCAATGTATGGTTGCCTCTCACATGCCCCCTACTGGAGACCTGGCCTGGACAACAACCTAGGCACGTGCCCTGACTGGGAATCGAACCAGTGAACCTTTGGTTGGCAGGCTGGCACTCAATCTACTGAACCACACTAGCCAGGGCAGGAATTATTGCTCATTTTTTAAAGATTTTACTTATTTATCTTTAGAGGGGAAGGGAAGGAGAGAGGGAAACACTAATGTATAGTTGCCTTTCATGTGTCCCCTGCTGGGAACTGGCCTGCAACCCAGGCATGTGCCCTGACTGGGAATCGAACCACACACCCAATCCACTGAGCTACAGCAGCCAGGGTAATGCTCATTTTTAAATGTGATAAGGACATTTCCATTTTGTTAGAAAAAAAAAACAACAGTCCTGACTTTTAGATATACATACTGATGTGTTTACAGATGAAATGATAGATCTAAAATATGCTTGAAAATAACACAGTGATTTGGTCGTGGGTCTACAGATGATACAAGACTGGTCATGTGCTGATAACTACTGAAGCTGGGAGACGAGTATAATTCTATTTTTGTTTTGTTTGAAAATGTCCTTAGAAAGTTTTTATTTTAAAATTTATTTTTATTAAATTAAATGAAAATGGCACCAAGCAAACAGGTTTGATCACTGCTTTCTTTTTCCTTATATAGGAGAATAATTCGGTAGAGTCAGAATACAGCTGTCTTTTATTGCTCGATATATACTTCAGTGTATAAAGAAGTGGATCTATTTGGGAAGAAGATGTTTATACATAGATTATAAATTTTTCTTAATTTTTGGATTGTTTAAAAAAGTTCACAAAAGTAACACATGCTCACTGCAAAAAATTGAAACATAAAAATACATAGAATAAAAACATACCTCTTCAAACACTCTGGATTGTATCTCTTCAGACCAGTTTCCATGGATACATACAAAGTCAGCAAATAGAGTACCTACTATATGCCAGGCACATAGTTTTGCTTTTGCTGTGTATTTGTTTTTTAAACCTAAATGATATCATAATACATTACTTTCTGCAACTAGTTTTGTTTACTTAACAATATATGGTAGACATTATAAGTATTTTTATTTTTATTTTTTTAATAAAATATTTTATTTTATTTATTTTAATTTTTTTTGAGAGAGGGGAAGGGAAGGAGAAAGAATGGGAGAGAAATATCAATGTGTGGTTGCCTCTCATGTGTCCCCTACTGGGGACCTGGCCTGCAACCCAGGCATGTGTCCTGACTGGGAACTGAACCATCGACCCTTTGCTTCACAGGCCCATGCTCAATCCACTGAGCTACACCAGCCAGGGCAGTATTTTTATTTTTTTAAAAAATTTATTTATTAGCCCTGGCTGGTGTAGCTCAGTGGATTGAGCACGGGCCTGCGAACCAGACAATTGCGGTTCGATTCCCAGTCAGGGCACATGCCTGGGTTGCAGACCGGTTCCCTGCAGGCCAGTTCCCAGCAGGGGATGCACAAAAAAGGCAACCATACATTGATGTTTCTCTCCCTCTCTTCTTCCCTTCCCCTCTAAAGATAAGTAAAATATATTTTTTAAATATTTATTTATTTATTTTAGAGAGGGGAAGGGAGAGAGACAGGGAGGGAAAAAAAGAACATCAATGTGTGGCTGCTTCTTGTGTACCTCCTCCCTACTGGGGACCTGGCCTGCAACCCAGGCATGTTTCCTAGACTGGGAATCAAACCAGTGACCCTTTGGTTCACAGAGCAGCACTCAATCCACTGAGCCACACCAGCCAGGGCCACTATAAGTATTTTTACTGTAGAGTTGACTTTGGATAAAAAAGACAGGAAAGGAAAATATTAAAAGCACTAGAAGTGCTTATCTATCATATTACACAGCTAAAATAAGATCCAATTTCTGTCTCAATTTTTAATCTGTATACACAAAAAACTTCAGAATGTTTTTTACCAAAAAACAAGTTCCTACGCAATTTGAACATAAAAAGAACATTTAACAAGCTGTTCACAGAAATAAAATGTTCACTCTTCAGTTTCCAAACCCTTTAATCCTTTTAATAATTAAGACAGTTTCTAAGTTTACTTATTACTTCACTTGCTTTTTAATGTCTGTCACAAATCAGATGGATTACATACTCCTTCCCTTTTCCCTACTACCTAAAGAGTCACCCTGCCTCCTCTCTCCTGTTGAATACAGATCAAGCTGTTGAATATGAAACTATCGTTGAAATGAAGGTGGTTTATAATGAGCGCTGCCTTCTTGAAACTGCAACCACTGTGCCTTTTCTATAAACTAGATCAGGTATTTCAAGTATGTACAATATTTCAACATTTTGTGACTCAGATATCTATGCCAAAACTATGAGGGATCATATTCAGTACATGACTAAATGTAAAAAGCAATCTGTGTACATAGATTTTCATCAATGTGTTATTTATCATTTGAAATGCCTGGTTATAAGGGAACTGTTAGTGAACCAAGATGAATCCACATCCAAAATTCCCTGTCATGAAATCTTTAAAAACTATATGAATGAAAACTGTAGAAGAAAATGAGAAAAGTTTCACCCCCACCGATTTTATGTAGGATGAGATTTCTATCTAGGTCTCCAGGCATTTGTGTAGGATTCAGAGACATTTAATCAATAATAAATCAAAAAGAAAGAGGCAGAGAGATGACTATTATCTTAATTTTTTTTTCTAGTAGTAAGAGTTACTTAAAAATGAAACAAACTCATCCAAAGGATAACGAATGCACTGTGCGGAAGCAAGGACAGATACTGTTGAGGACACTATGGTGCAGCGAAAGGAGCACAAGCTTTGGATGGGACAGATCTGAGTTCCAATCTAGAATTTGCTGCCTTGGGTACTTGTTTATTCCCACTGACCCCAAGTTTCCTGAATTGTCAAGATGGGGATCGTAACTACTCAAATAATATATCAAACATGAGGATTCATAGAAGCAATATATACAATGTACAGTGCTTGGCATGTGATAATTAATGGAAGTTACTGTGGCAACTGTGTGGTTGTGACATTTACATTAACTATCAGGAGTTAAGTTTGACTAGATAGACTTAGTTTCCTTTGAAACAGAAGTCCAGAAGCACAAAAGTCAGCAGTTAATCTGTAAAAACTTTTGGGTTTTAGATATCTTGTGCTTGAAATAATGACAGGAAGTGCTTAAAGGTCCCAAGGGCCCTTCGAATTTAAATGAAAAGCAGTTTTATGGTCAGCAACCAAAATTAATGTGACTACATAGAAGACCAAGAGTATCGGGCACATCTGTAGCTATAGTTGCAATCAATTAAATTAGTAAAAATGCATACATTCTGTTAACACAAACAAAACACTAAAACAAATGAGAGCACCAATAGCACTTTAATATATACTTATTAATTCAACAAATATTTATTGAATATTTTGGTGTCCCAGACACTGTATAAAGCACTGAGAGTCAGCAACAGCACAGGTATTCTATAATTGCAAGGATACATAATGCACGAGAATTCTGACTTTTTCTACATGAATGACTTTATTAAACATGTTCTCTCAGTAAAGTGCCTACTCTGTGGAAGAAGGCATTGTGCTGTGGTGGAAAGAATGAGGGGTCTGGGTCAGACAAGCCTGGGTGTGAGTCTCACTGCCTCCGTGTGTCTATTTCAATCTCCCTCTCATAGGGCTGGATGCTGAACAAGCACTGTGTCTAAAATTAATGCGAATACTACAGCTTTGAGGCTGACCTAGAACTGTAGTTTCATCAGTGTCATTATGCAAATGTCCAAGTTCTGAGTAAAAACAATTTTAGGTAGACTGACTTTTAATAGCAATCATTCACATATTAGTCAGTCCCACAACTCTGTTTATGTTACACCTCATTCAGATAAGATTTAAGAAAGCTTAACACCAAAAAAGAAGGGGAACTGGAGGGAGTTCAGGATGAGGGGTCTAAAGTGCTTTGAGACTTTTAGCATGTTATCTCTTGAGAATGATTTTTACTTTAAAATTTTATTAATAAATTTCACTCAAATTCCCAAAAAAGTTTGCTCTTTTCAAGATTTTGATATCCTTAATAATGCTACCAAAAAAACTTAA